GAAAAAATTGTTTAATTAACAACTAAAGCTGATTCAAATCGACTAAGTCCTAAGGAAAGTGGTTTTTTCAAATTATTCCAGTTATTATCTAGTTTGAATTGAGACAATCTCTTAAAAAAAAATACTTTACGCTTTCAAAAATCATGCTGCTACCCAATAAACGTGTTCTAAAAATCTAAAAGTTGATAGATTTTGATAAACCGAGTTCAAACATCCAAAAGCTCACCCACTCTTTCCAATATAATTCAAAAAGAGGATTACCACGAATACAACCATCCTCTTCAAAATATATAATATTTACCCCGTTGCCTAATGTTTTTCACGACCCATATTTCCTCTAATAAACACCAAAACACAGCGTCTTGGTGCCGACCTCGTGCCAGGACTTCTGAAAAACACTGGGAAAATGCCGCCAAAAATGTGTTTACCCCTCGGAAAAAACATCGGCGGTCGTACGATCAGGTGGTCTGGGTTCAAAACTATTTGTGTCGTCTGCAGAGTGCAAGAAAAGTGAGAAAATGGCTTAAAATAAATTTTCTCTGAGAGAAACGATAGCGTTCAGTGTTCAATAACATTTTTTTTGGTGGATAAAATAAAATTTAATTTTTTCAAGAATTCATGGGCCCAAAACTAACTGAATAAATCGTAAAGGCTTATTGTATAACTGCATGATTATCACAAATTTCTTTTCAAAATAATGCAGAAAAGCTTAATTTAAGAATGATAAAAGAAAACTTAGAAAATTATCGTTCATTTTTTCAAAATTTAAGGGCAAAAAATAGAATTCGAAACCGCAAAATACCTTTTTACGGCGTAAAGGTTCAGTATAAAATATCAGAAATATCACCAGCTTATGCATTTTTACAAACAAAATTCATAAACTAGTCAAAATTATGTCGTTTTGTCAAGGAAACCACAAAATCATCGTTTTTCGTTAATTTCGCAACAACCGACCTACCTACACCTGAACACTAGGAAAGACTGAAAAAGAACCTTGAGGCCGGCTGGAAAAAATCATCTCTCTTGCGCAATATTGCACAGAATTGGAAAACGTTGTCAACAACGTTATTTCCGGCCCCCTGATATCTTTCAATCTGCTCTCCGCTGTTCACTTTGCAGGTACAAAAAAGATTTTTTGATAAAAATTGTTTGGAGTGGCGCCAGCGCGGCGCTCACAAACAACCTTTTTGTTGACGAAAATCCTCCCGTGAGATAAAACAAAACAATTTACGAAGGTCGCTTTTGAGTCACGTTTTTGTAGAAATCAGCAGACAGCTTTTGTCGCAGTTTTTGTGGAGAAAAATAGGAAAGATGGATTGATAAAATTAAAGTGTTTCAATATAAACGAAACTAATTGGAAAAAAATCTTCTTTGCACGTCAAAATTGAAAATTGAAACTTCTCTTATTTTTTTCGCCAGAAACTGTTCCCAGCATAGTTAGACAAGAAAAAAATACTTGAAAAAAATAATTAAAAATCTAGTTTTGCCAAGAGAATAGGTACTCGAGATTCCATAGTCAAACAGAAAAATTAGTGAAGACTGAAAACTCCTCAATTTTAATCAGAATTATCGAGAAAAAAATGCAATTTACGTTAAATAATTGTTTGCCACGAAAATTAAGTTCAAACAAAGTGGACTTGTAAAAACCCTAAGTAAAATTCAACATCATTTAATTGGACTTAAATGCGGTCTTAAACATTACAGGTTGAAAATAATTGAAAAACTCTGCATTAAATTGAAAAAAAGAACTTCAGGCGTCAACGTGGAAAAATCCCACCCATGCACCCAAAAGGCCTCAATAAATCACACGTCAAATCCCTCAAGCAAAATCGTAAAAAAAAGAAACGTACTATCGTAAAAAGCGGCGTTGTAACTGAAACATAGAAAGTATAAAAAAGATATTATGGGAAAGGGGCGAAAGATGGGCCGACGGATTGCCTATAAAACAGCCAGTGAGTCGGGAGAAAAAAAGGAAAAAAAAAGGGCGAAGAGTTCTCGTCGGAAATCGATGGGGACCAGCGGCCGCGCGGAATGAAAAAAAAATGAACGCGACGTTTTTTTTTTTGCCCTGCAGAGAACGTCGTCCTCGCGAATTCTTCCCATTAGAAGGATTAGAAAGTCTCTTTCAGCTCTCCGTTCGCGTTGACGTCTCTTTTTTCCCTTCCAAAGAGAGAAATGTATGCGAATGTCATGTTTACGGCTGAAGAACGCAAAGTCTACGGTAGCCGTTGACAAAATAGGTCGCCAAGTGCTTGAAAACAAGGTCTTTTCAGGCATTTTTCGAATGAATTCTGCTCCAAAACACAAGGAGTCGATTTCAAAAGAGTGGTCATTTTACTTTGTGGAAGGCAATCTCTTGAGAATTGGCTAGAAAACACCTCGATGTGTCAGAAAAAAAGAAAAACTTTTACTTTTTGAGAAAAGGTACCTTCGAATAAAAGAAAACCCTCAAAATCCTAAAAATAGGTCATTTTGGGGTTTTGAGCTCTTATTTATCAAAAAATGCGAATTTGTGGTCAAATCCTTGATGTAGTCCATTTTCCCGACTTGGAAGACTAAAGAGGCGGGGCAAGGGACGAGACGCGTAGCGTGTGCGTACGCGGTTCTTGGAACAAGTTGAATTCAAGCGCACCGACTATTCAAAAAGCTCGGTCACCGCTCTTTTTTTATATTTTCTACTTTTTTTCAATGCGCACATGAGAAAAAAATTGATAAATAATTGGAAAAGGAACGAACGAAAAAAAGCTTTCCAAATGGTCGCTGGCGGTTGAATCGAACTCGTGCCAAGAACCTTTCTCAGAGATTTGCTTGAGAAACTTTTCAGAGCTTTGAAAAAAATACTTGCCTTTCTAGGTAAAAATACTAAAAAAATCAGCCTTCAGAATTTATATTATTCAGAAAATAAAGACTGAAAGGTCTCTTTTCTAACATGGAAAGTCATTTTAGCGTAATCACTGAAGAGAAATAAAACTTCGAGGTGTCAATTCTCGGAAATACACTAAGAATAACTGCCGAGATAAACGCGAGACACTGGCGGTACATTGACGAGCTCGCAAATATCTCGCTTTTTTTCTCGCGCCGGTCTCGCATTTTTCTGGGCGCGAGCTCGCAATTTTCTAGGCGCGAGCTCGCATTTCTCTAGCAATTTGAAAATTTCCGAAATGCAAGATAAATGCGAGATGGCGCCGAGAAAAATGCGAGGTCGCGCCGAGAGAAACGCGAGATCGCGCCTAGAAAAAAGCGACATTTTTGCGAGTTCGTCAATGTACCGCCACCGAGCTCGCGTTTATCTCGTCAGTTATTCTTAGTGTATGGGAGAAAAATGCAGGTTAGAAGTCCCAAATTAGCTAAAAAGTACGTTGTTAAATCATTCGAGCGATTTTCATAAAAATTCTGAAGCTGCTAGTCAAATTACTTTTATTGAGAGGTAGTGTAAAAAGCTGTTAAGAGATTTGAAAAAAAAAAAATCAGGTTCCTCGCATACCGATTTTGCATTGAAGAGTCCTATCACAACAAAAAAAATCCTTACTTTAAAAAGAAAAAAAAAAGTTACTTTAAAAAAAAGAAAAGAAACGATTCTTACTCCTCTATTGAATCAAAAGGTACTTATTTAATATCAAAAAAAAAAAATGAAAATCGAAATATTGTATGAAACAGAAGATCGAAAAAAAAATAATTAGAAAAAAAGTGAAAATTCAGTTTCCCTTTCAAAACTAACAGTATACTTCTGACTAAGTTAAAAAAATGTTCCCTAAATTTGTACATCGAGAAAAAAAAATCAACTAAAAGATCGTCCGAAAAATTCATCCTCCAAGAAGACTAACGCTAAAAATACAGACTCAGAATATATTTTACATTTTCGATATTTCTTTCCAGCCCGAATATTCGGTAGAAAAAAAACAATAAACTTCCCTGAACACGATTTGATGAAAAAGTGGAAGAGAGAGTGGAATATGATATATCATAGTTATTCCTTCATCGAAATCTGAAAAAAAAACGTTTATTTAACTCACAATAAAACATAATAAATAACTTCAGCTATCGGAAGCTGAGAGAATTAACCGTTTAGAAGGAACTTTAAGAAGGTCAATTGGAAATTTGAATCAAAACTGAGAAAACCACAGAAAATCGGATGAAAAAAACGGAAAAAACCGGAGCAGTTGAAAATTACGTGAAGGAGGTCATTGTTTGGACTCATTGAGACTGCTGTACTTTAAAAAGAGACAGTATATGATAGAAACGTGAAAAAGGTAGCGGAAATCAAAATTCCCAAAAATCACAAAAAGGAAATCACAATTCCGAAAGAAAATCCAATAATCATTTTCATCTCCATTGAAAAGGAACAGTTAGAAGAAAATTCAAGAAAAAAGCGCTGCCTTGTGTGTTTTCGAAAAACAAATGCGCTCTGGCTCTCACAGGTTAATAATGACGTCACTGGTAGTTATGTCGTATGACGTGATTTTCACGTAAACTGTCAATAAATTTCGAAATGGGAATAAATCGTGGAAAATTTGAATTTCGAGGGCAAGTTTTACTCGAGTAATATACGGTAGGCGAGGAAGTACATGTACACGAATGCACATTTTGAGCGCACAGTAATGTTTTTTCGCAAAATTTTTTCAAATTTTATTATTTTTGTTTTTTCCTCTTTTCTATGAACTGTTTTAAAATTTTTGCTACACTATGCAGACTGGTTTTCAGTGAAGGAATTAATTGTTTTGTTTTGAACTTCTCAAACGGCTTGCATGTGCGGAAAATTAAATATTTTTGAAACTCTCATTTTTCAATTTTCTACGGGAACTCAGAAATTATGAATGCATTTTTGTGTTTGGATATAACAGAAAAAGTTACGCGTTGCATTGGTCTTGAGCGATCGGAAATATATCTGTCTGAATCTTTTTCAAAAGATTGTTTGCGTTATTTTTAACCCTATTTCTAAACTTTCAGCGTCTGAATTCCATGCCAACATCGCCACAAAGGCAAAAAAGGAAAAACATCGGATGAAGTGGACCACTTTATATACTACTATAGTTATAGCTTTTCTGATTTCATTTTCATCGGCCAATGACGATTTTAATAGTGTAAGTCTTTATTTTGATTTTATTTTAAGTTTTCTCTCTAGTTTTAGTGAGAAAATGATTATTTTCAGGAATTGCATAGCACTTATGAAGAAGAGCCGGGCTCGATTTCAACGGTTTTAGTTTCGACGATCGACGGACATCTTCGTGCCTTGGATTCCAAAAATGGACGGATTTTATGGACTATTCGGGAAGGTAAAGATGAAGAATGGTTATTTAATCTTGATTTAATTTTTTCAGACGCCGTTTTACGGTCTCCATCTACGGTCAAACAAGGCTTTACCTACCTTCCGAACCCGATTGATGGCTCTTTGTACCTATTAAAAGACAGTTCTTTGAAGAAACTTCCCTTCAATATTCCTCAATTGGTTCACGCTTCTCCTTGTAGGGGCAATGACGGCGTTCTTTATGCAGGTTTTTCTCGAAACATTAGTTCTGTGGGGATAAGTTTAATTTAAGGTAGTAAGAAGGACGTTTGGTTCGGCATCGATCCACTCACTGGGACTAAGGTAATAATTCTGTTTACCACTGAATAATTTTTTTGAAATCAAAAAAACTGAAATTTTGAAGGCAAGTTGGGGCTTTCAAACAATCTTTAAAGTTAATTTTGAAGATATTCAAAAAAATATTTAGAAAAATTTAAAAATTTTTGTCAAAAAAAGTCTTCCCGGTTTTTCCAAAGAAGTCATGCTTAATTAATTCTTTTGGTCCAAAAAAGCCTTTTTTGATAAAAATTTATAGTTTCCAACTGGTTAATCAACATGGTTTCAAACTTATTTCACTGTTTCAACATGAATGTTAATTTTTGGTTGGTTATAATTTTCACATTACTTATGGTCATATTCAAGAAAAAAGGGAACTAAAATCAGAAAAAGAAAATTTTCATGATTTATTTTGAATAAAATCTGCAAAAAGCGTTCATTATGACGTACAATTTGATGAGTAGCTGGTGTTTTATCTTCTGTTTTTTAATGAAGAGAAAATTTTTCTTTAGGCTAAAAAAAGATTGAGAAAAGAGACGGAAACAGGCCGGAATAAGAAATGGTTAAAAATAACTGCTCGAAGATTCGTGTTTATTAGAGCATCACTAAAGATAACTGCCGGGGCGAGATAAATGCGACGTCGCTTACATTAGAATGACGATATCGCAAAAGGGACGCTCTTTCGGCGCGCTGATCTTGATTTTCGCTCAAAAAAATTTAAAATTACTGAAATGCGAGATTGGGCGGAGAAAAATGCGATATCGCGTCAAGGGAAATGCAAAACGGGAGCGGCTATGAAGCAGCACTTTTGCCAGGTCGTCAATGTACTGTAAGCGATCTCGCGTTTCTTTCGGCAGTTTTTTTTTAGTGTTTCTCTAACTATTTCTTCTTCCGAAATATGAAAAGTGAGTTCTGCTCTGAGTTGAAAGCTTCAGGTGGAAACTTTATCTTCCTCTTCGGCAGACCGGATCTGTCCGGCCAACAAGGGCAGCGCCGTGTTCGTCGGCCGGACCGAATATCGCGTCAGTATGTTCGATGGCTCCAACCGCGCCAGGACCTGGAACGTCACTTACAACGACTATTCCGCTCATCTTCTGCCTGGTTAGTTCTGGTGGAGAGAAGAATCACACGAAAATCAAGCTAAAAAGTCCAAAAACACCGAAAAAGAGTTAAGAAAAGTTTATCTTGAAAGTTTCGAAAAATATTGAAAAGTAAATTGTCATAAAAATGAAGCTTAAAAGTCTTCAAAAACAGAAAAATGAAAAAGGTTTGAAAAAGCGTCCAAAAGTCCATCTTGTTTAATGTTAGTTCCGTGACAAACCAAAATTATAGGCATTAAAAACAAAACAAAAAAGGTTCAAAAATAGTTCTTTTTTTCTCCCTGATTATTTTTTTGCAGAGTTTTAGAAAGAAAAAAAGGTACAAAACCAACTTTAAAGATCTTTCACAAAACCATGAAAAACAAGGTTTTTTTAACCGAATTCGATACTTTTTTTTTCTGGGTCCTTGAAGATGCAACATTGTTTTTAGATATTTCATATTTTTTTCTCAGTTTTTAAACTAAATCTTGAAGACATTTCATAGAATTTCGGGTTTGAAACAATAACTTCCACCTATTTCTTTATTTTTCCAACCAATTTCCTGGAAGAATCATTCATCCGCAAAGTTTTAAATCACGTTAAAAAAAATTTTTTTTTGAAAATTTCCCATTATTTTCTCTGTTTTTTGATTTTATCGAGTGACCTCCATGCAATCTTCCAACAAAGAAAAGAGAGGTCATTTTGAAGGTCGTTCGAATTATTTTAGCATTTCCTTATCAAATTAGCCGTCAAGGCCGTCCTCGGCATTTTTTTTTAGAAGTCAGATCAAATTTTTATCATTGACGCTTCTGCGCTGAACTTTTTCGTTCAACTTAATTAAGTGTTGAGAAAAAAAAAAAAAACAAAATTCTTTAAAATAAAATTTATGGGATCCAAAAGCTAGGAATTTTCGAGTGTTACGAAACGAAATGAATAGTTTTTCTCACATAATGATTCATTATGTTTATTAAAAATCATGGTTTTATGAATTTACAGTATTGAACTCGAAAAAAATAACTTATTCATAAAAAAATAATTAGTTAACTTTCAAGATGAACCATTTGTTCATCCGAGCGATTTTTAGGTTTATTTGAAAGAAAAGAGCAGAAATTTCCTTTAGAAAACAGCAACTACAAACTTCGGCACTACGTATCAACATCATCTGGGAACATTCTTGCCGTCGACAGTGTTACAGGTTATTTTTTTAAGGGTCAATATCAAAAGAATGTTTGAATACTATATATCTTACGAGGAAGGTCATTTCACTTTGCGGTTGGGAATTTTTTGGAATTCGGCCAGAAATCTTCTTAATGTACTAGAAAAAGGATCCTGAAAATCTCAATCTGCATAACTTCTCAGCTTCCGAGAAATAAAAAAGCTCGACGCTTCAAAATAGCTGATTTTAACAGATTTTAAGTTTTTTTTTCTGATTTCGAAATGTCCTTTCTCAAAAACGAGAACGATGTTCAGATTGAGACTTTTTTTTACCCTTTTTCTGGTACATCGAAGAGTTTTTTCTCCGATTTTTCAATTCCAAAGCACAAAGGGAATAAACTTTTTAAAAAAATACATTTTTTTGAACAAGGTAGGAAAAAAAGGGACCACTCCTTCATAAAAAAACTTGTCGTTAGCGTTTGAATATAAAATTCATTTAGAAAAAAATCTAGATAGCTGAATGCGGTATATTTTTTTCTAGAAAATTTAATTTGTGAAGAAATTTTTCCATAGAAAAAAAGCAGCTCACTAAAAAAATTTTTGAGCATGCTTCTTGAAAATTAGAACGTTTTCGATTTTTTTAAACAGCCTTTCAAATCGCTTGAAAACGATTCAAAAAAAAATTTTGAATTAGTTGAAATTGATTACTTTTTGAATCTTCAAAAAAATGGAAGAGTTTTTTTGAAATTTTTGAACTGCCAAGAAATTTTTAGAAAACGCGGGAGAATTCGTCCTTTTTTTTCCAAGAAAGCTTAGCGTATTTTTCTTTCTATGGTTCATACTTCGTTCCGAAATCTCACCTTTTCAGCGGAAATCCGATGGGAACAAGATCTGAAGGAACAAATCGTAGCGATTTATCTGTTGCAAAACGACGGCCTCCACAAACTTCCGTTCGAAGTTCTCGGCCGCGAAACCTTGGAAAACAGTATAAAGGTACCTTTTTTTCTTTCTTTTTTAATTGACCAAACTTTCAGATTTCATTAATTTTTTTATTCGAGGACCAGTAATGAGTTTTGAAAGACAATTCATAAGCAATTCTGGGAAGTTTTATATACCGCGTTGGGTCTTTAGCACGGGGAGACGAGGGAATAATTCTGAAAAAAACAAGAGAAAAATAGAACTAATAAGTGAAGTTGCCTTGACGGAGTGAAGGGGCTGAAGGCTTGGAAATGGAATAATATTACAGGAATGATGGAAAATCGAGGTTTGGAAGGCATCAAAACATTATTTGATTGAAAAAAACCTGGAAATGTGTATTTTTTTAGCTCCAGTGCTCATTTTACAGCAAAAAATTGCTTTCTAAAAATCCAAATAGGTTTTCTCCCCGTTAAAAAAATGTATTGAATTCAAAAGTCGTAGGAAAATGAAACAAATTTTGACAATTTCCTTGAAAAATGAGCAAAAAATCAAACAAAAGATGGTTTCAAATCCTAAAATCTAATCAAAAAACAAAAAAGTTTATTAATTCAAAAATTGCTAAGCTGAAAAGACACGAAGTATCCGGTAGAAAAATCGTAAAAAAAAGTTGAAAAATTTTCCCACTTTTTTTTGTTTGGAATCACCGTTTCGATATATGAAATCTGTTCAAAAAGTGTATTTTTATTGATTCATAATCTTTTGAACCTCAGAAAATTTTAAAACAGTTCGTGTTAAATATTTTCGTTTCAGTTACAAAAAAAGGTTGATGCTACGTTTCAAACTTTTTATTTAATTTCATTCCTACTCACGGGTTTTGATCTTCGTTTTGGTGCGGGCTTTCCAAAAGTTTAACACTACAAAAAAAGAAAATTCCCATGTAATGTAATAAGCCAAACCCAAGCCTTCTGAACGGAATATGATTGAATATTTGGGGGGATTTCTCACGGTTCGGCCGAAGAACCGGCTTCTCCGCCCGGGTCATTATATGATTCCATGTGAAGTTGTTCCTCGTCGTCGTTTTTTCGGCTTTTCCTCCGTCCGCTTTTTCTCCCCGAGCTCCTGCAAATGTATACAAATCCATTGTTTTGTTAAGAAGAGCAGGAAAAAAGAAGTTAGAATGTGCTGCTGCGAGTGCAGGTGATGATTGATATGATAAGCGGTGGAGCGTGAACCGGTGATTGATTGTGAGGGACGAACGCGGGCGTGCCAAAGGTGCAATCTTATGTTTTTCTAGCGATTCTAGTGATTCGTCACTGATTTTCGAAGGTATTAGTGTTTTCAGCTATTGATATTGAAATAAGGTCATTAAAGAGTAGAGGAAAGGTCAACTAGGTTGAAAAGGGTATTGAGAATCGATAGTTCTAGATTTTTAAAGTGGGCGCAAATCTCTTAACTCCAAGCTTTTCTAGAGAAGCTGCTAAAGGTTTATCAACTTTCCTACCGATTCTAGTGATTTGTCACTGATTTTTGAAAATTTTAAAAAAGGTCTTTTCACTTCAAAAACTTGGTTTAAAATTTAAGATCCATAGATACAACTTGATGTTATCAAAAAAACTTGAATTTGATAGCTTCAATACCGTGAGAAGAAAATTTTCTAAAGGTGTAATTTATGTTTTTCTAGCGATTCTCGTAATTTATCGATTTTTGAAGATGTTTTACTGAGGAAGCGATGGCAATACGGTTAAATGGTGAAAGAAAGGTCTAGTGACCTAACTGAGAACTGAATGTTTCAATTTATTGAAAAATATTTATAAGTTAAGATGGACTAAAAAAATGGATAAGATTGAAAAAAATTGTTAGATAGATATGAAGAAAAAAAGAGTAACCATGCTTCAGAAAAACCAGTAAAGTTGAAAAATCCGTAATTTTTCTTTTGAAATTTTCATTCAGCTGTCGCTCTTAAATAAAAATTATCAGCAGACAAACTTAAAATTACTAATTGAAATCGTCAATTTCTGAGCTTTAATATTTTTTTTAAGCTTCATTTCTTGCGGCTTGAAACCTCTTGGTCGCATCTAGAATGGCTGAAAGCGTCTAGGTGTTCCGGCTTCAAATCTATCAACTTTCTATAATAATTTTTAATGGCCATGCGCTTTCCATAATATCCATTGCATATAAAGCCATTCCACATGCGACCAAAAGCTTTCAAGTTAGAGCTATACTTGATAAAAAGTTGATTTTTCATGCTAACTCTGAAAAAGAGCAATAAGTTTTAATGAAATATGAATAAGCGGAATAGCAGCCACAATGCGTCAAAAAAAAGAGAAGAAAATAGAAGAAGAAGAAAAAAAGTTTCATTTGTTAGAAGTGCGGAGAAAATCTTACCTGTTGACTACTTGTACTGGACTATGAGCTGAATATCGATTTTATTAATGGGAAGAATTTTCTTTTAAAGAGCAAAAAATACCATCTATTTTTGTCATTTTACTTCATAAAGTTCATTCAAATTGGAATTGAAATTATGTTTTTTTTGGCCGTTCTTTTAACTTAAAAATAGGCGGAAAGTATTATTAACAAAACAAGAATGTGAAAAACCTAATGAAGAATTTTTGAAACAGTTTTTTCATCATAGAAATTTTTGAACATGAGAAAAAAAGCTCACGTTCTTCTATGCTCGTAGGGAGCCGTGTAGAATTCCTCGACTCTATGAACTTCATCGTCTCCTTCATCTTCTTCGCTGTTTGATAAGCTGGAATGTACCAGTTGTTATCAAAATATCAGTTTTCCCAAGATTTGAAATTCCCAACCTGTAGTCGTAGTTCCTGCGGACCATGTAGCCGTGAACCGGACATAAGGCTTTCATAACCCGAATTGTGCCGTCGGGATTAAATTTACAAAGACAGGGGAGATCTTCGCCCGGCGCAAGATATCGACAACTTGCGTTGGTTCGAGAGGAATCCGAGGAAGTTTCCTCATCGTCGGACTGTTCCTGAGAGTTGGAAAAATCGGATTTAGTCGAAAAGAGAATTATAATTTGTCTTTGAGAGCAAAAGAAAAGTCGGCAAAAATATCGAAATACACAAACTTTTTTTCTAGTTCACTTTATTATAAATTTACTATTCAAAATTTGAGTTTTTCATTGGCAAAAAAAAATCTCTTTAGAAATCAAAGATTCGAAAACGAAACTTCTCACATAGTCTTCAGGAAAGCTAAAAAAGATTCGCAAGTTACCTTTTTGAGGAACTTTATTCAATAGAAGCACAGATTAATTGAGCTAATGGAAAAAATATAAAGGAAATCAGAATAAAATATTTACATTCAGCAAAAGATGCACTTACTTTGATGGGAGAGGGCAAATCCTCGATGATGATAGACTGTTTTGATCGATTTGATAAGGAATGATTGGACCGAATTGAGCGGATATCGTGGACGGAAAGCTTGACGCTTTGATTCGTGCTGGTTTTGTGGAGCATTTGCATTGAGGATTTTTGTGAAGGGACGATGAAATTCGGTTGGGTTCCCACAGATCTTAACATCAGTTATGAAATAACTTATTATCAATTTTGACAAAATGACAGAATAGGCTAGGGGCACATGTTGAACGTCTGAATTTAACTAACCCTTTGCGCTTCCGGACGTAGGCTTGAGTTGCGAAAACAACCAGGGAAACGATTTCGAGAAGACTGACAACCGAGGCGCCGATCCAAAGGCCTGTCAGACCGCCGACGTCGGCCAACACACTGTTGAGCTGAACTCGGAAAACTCAAAGAATCAAATTTTTCTTGATCCCACCGTGTAAGCTGGACTCTCCATCATAGTCTCGTAGTTGAGTTCCTCGTAGAAAATTTGGAGCATGGCCGCGTTTTTGCGATATCGCTCCAGGCAGAGATAGTCTCCTGGCAAGCATTCCATGACTTTTGCGGAACCGGATGGCCATCGGGCTGAGGAATAGGTCACTTCGTAGTTGGTTTCTCTGAAGGCATGTTAACCATCTTAATGAGCTTTATGGCGTTTTCTGATTCTGAAACTAGGAAAAACAGAAATAAATAATTTCAAAATACATCTTTTTTTATGCAGGATCTATTTTTTTTAATAGCTCAAAGAAAGAAAAAAAAACAGAAATAACTAGTACCGCAAATTGCTGCTCTACGAGGCATGTAAAGAAAAACTTTTATTAAATGGTTCTGATTTTGACTTTCGTAACTACGGTAAATCACCTATAACTCAAAAAAAAAAGATTAAGAATGGGAATGAATGAAATGAGAGAGTACTCACGTGCATGGCTGGTGACAGTAGCAATCGGGAAGCCCTTCTTTTCCTTTCGAGTAGAGTTCTCCCAAATAAAGAGTCATTTCTCGAAGACATTCTCGCTGTTCCATGTTGACCGCTTGACAAGCTTTGATGTCTTTCGCGTTCATCGGTACTGGGTACATTGGATCCGCGCAGCCGCATCTCTCCACTATCAGCTTTTGAGCGCAACTTCGGTGACAAGCCTAAAAATCAGAGAAAACTTGAGATTTTTTGTCAGAAAAGTTTTACTTCGACAGAATAGCTGAAGTTCCGGTAGACAAAGTTTTCCGAATCCTCGCCGCCGTTTTGGCAATGACCATAGGGCGGCTCAAGGCGGATGAATTGCTTCTGGAATTTATAAAATATAAGGAATAGTAAGAAAGCAAGGTTTCTACCATTCTGACACCAAAAGAAGAGAGAAAGCCTGTCGGAGCGCTGTACCCGAAAGCGTCGGGAAATGGAACTGTGTGTTTGTCGTGAACTGTTATTCGGAAGCCGACGGCTTCTGTTGTTGGCAAGTACTCGCTCACGTTCGCGTATAGAAGAATTCGAAGTCCTAGAAATCAAGATAAATCAAATTAAATTAAAATGGAAGTATACTTACCATAATTGGCGCCAGCGCGATGAGACGTTACCTCGGCTGTTCGGTTGAAGTTGAACGTGTAGCAGTTGCCGAAGGTATTGTCGTAGTGAAGTTTGAAGTCTCTGGGAAGATTATGTAGAATTCCCATAGGATCTTTTTTCCGTGAGACTTAAGGAAACTAACAAGGAAAATAATCGTAGTGGTAAGTATAGAGTTTTTTGTAAATTTCGTCAAACGTTTTTTGAAGGTTTAATGGAAGTTTCCAGACAGTCGCTATCTGCGAAAACTCTATAAAAACCAAATTACAGAATTACAGAATTTCGGCTTTAAGCCTCATCCTTGTTTTAATTAAGTTTGAAATATCATCTCCAAACAAAATGTTTCCGCAGGCAGGCGACTCCGGCTCATTTAACTTGACCTCCAGAAGAATGAGCCAATCAATTGTCGACACAAAAATGCGTTCTCTTCTCAGGAGATGATAATAGTTTCGAATCGACAAAAAAGGAGGAAAAGGCTAACCTTGCCATAATGCAGTCCTTTTGATTAAATGAGCACTTAAGGATAAGTTCATCCAAAACGTAAGACAAGTCTTCTTTCTCTGACGGTGACATTTCTCCAACAGCGAACATTAGATTTTCTTGCGCCTGACTTTTCAACGCGATCTCGTCCGTTATATTCTAAATCCCTCCTTATTTAGCTTCAATATTAGACTTCAACTGACTTCAAAACCAAGAGCTTGAACCATGGCTGGTGCTTCTGTAGTAGTTGTCGTAGTTGTTCTCTCACTCTGAGCTTTTGCTTGCATTTCTGCTCTGGCGGCCACGTCCATCGTAGAAATCTCATCATCCGGCGAAATTTCCAGTATAACTCCGTCTGGACGAGTTCCAACACAGTGGTTGTACTCCTTGTGGCAGAGACATAGATCGACTTCCTCTTTGATATTCTCGTAGACTTCGTTGCCTTTGTAGAATCGCATTGGGCAGTGGCCGGAGCTGTCGACGCATTCGGAACACAGCTTTTCCTTCCAGGAGCCGTCTGAAGAGAGAAAGTATGAATAGATAAAGGCTCATGAAAAAGAAACTTACATGGGAAGCAAGGCCAAAGAGTCTTGGAGACCATGTCGAACTGGCAAAGGCATCGGGATTGATGGAGACTTCGGATCGAGTTGGTGTCGTTGGTTTCGACGGTGATTCTGCCTTTGTAGGCAGCGAAACAAGATCCGCGACGTTCTGCCGTCAGAGGGTCGATGTCACAGAGACACTGGGCGAAGGCCTGGTAGTATCTTCGGTCTTTTTCTTTCCGCCTTCGTGTCTTCCTCTTGGCTCTCCGGACTGGAATTTGATTTTGGAGAGGTGAGGTAGAATTGATACAACAATCAGTGTCTCGAATAGGAGGAGTTTTTATTCTGGAGGAGGAACATAATCTTGAAGCTATTGTATTGTGATAAAATTTGCAAGCTCATCTAAAGATTTTTAAAAAGAGCAACCGTAAAAAATTGAATGACTTATGTTAAGTTAAAAGTAAAAGTTTTACAATTTCGTCGTCGGAAAAAAAAAGCCTAACAGTTTCGCCATTGAAGTTTTCCACGCTCTAGAGACTTTTTTCAGTAGCTTTCTTTAACCTTCTATTTTTTTGGACGAAAACGTGACTTTTGCAAGTTTGAGTTTGACCCAAAGGTCAGTTGTTTCCAACTCCTTGAGACTTTTTTTCTAGGTATTTTGAGAATTTATGCTTCTTCAATTTGTGTCCACGTACAACGGCTGACAAATTTGTCTGGGATTGCCGTGGAATGTACGAATTGTTGATATTTTCGTCGTGTCTCCACTTTTCGCTCAATCTATCGCCTCAGAAGCTATGTATAAGACAGGAGTGTTCAAACGCTCGTTGTTTTGACAAATGTTCGAAGTGCCGGCCAAAAACTTTGTCCCTCCGTCTGCCTCGTCGGGTTTTTGCCTATCTCTTATCGACAAACGCTCCATGGACTATGGAGAATCGATAAAATGAGCAGCTCAAAATTGGGTCAGTAATTGGATCGAGGTTCCGGGCGAGAGTGGATCAAACATCGGAAAATAGCTCAAGAGTAGTTTAGTACAATCGAGTGATGGGAGGTTGTTGCTATGAAAAATTATTGGTCTCAGAAAACGCTTCCCTTACAAAAAATGAATGAAAATTGATCGATTTGGCATCGACTCCAGTTTCGGTAGTCTTCTCAATTTTTCTTTTTAAAAAAAGCTCATGGTTCCATAAAAAATCGATAATAAAAATAGGTTTTTATTTTATTCAGGCTTCTCAATACTTGTGAAATGAAAAACAAAGTCAGGAACATTAAAAATAACAACAAGCTCTATAAGGAAAAAATGAAATAAAACAAAAACCTTTAGCATGTAGACCTCCACCCATACTTGACAGGGCGGCCGCGATTCCTTCGGCTTTGTCTCCGGAACCTAGTCGCCTTGTATAGGCTTCCATCTGAATATTTTACTATATATTTTTTGGTTTAACAAGGCGAGCATAATAAAAATTTGTCAACTTTAAAACTCAATTTGAAACCTATAATCTCAATTAGAAAAATTAGATTTTTTTCAATTTGACTTTGCCTGACACTTTGGGGGCCCAGATTTAGAATTATATTGAAAAATTAATAACCTTATTCAAACATGTTCAATAAATAATCAAAAAAAGAAAGTACAATAATGAAGCGAAACTTGTAGGCTTTTCCAAATATTGAAAAATCGTAACATTAAACAAACTAAAATTTTAAATAATATGTTCAAAAACTCACCATAGCCTTCGTACTCGGATTGGAATGTACTGCGCTGCGTTTGTACGGATTTAAATTACAAATGGTTATAGAGGGAAATGGAGCATTTTCGAATTTGAGCTGAAATCCAATAATTGAACAACTTCAAAAAGTCCAAACTCACATCGAGATCAACAGTCTTGCCGTATTGACGATATCTAGAGATCACAGAAAATATTTGAATAAGTAGGCAAATGAGGCAAATTGTGAAGGCCGTGTACCAAAACCATTGCCAACGTTTGTTATGGGCCGTGGCGGCGTGGCTGATCCCATGGAAGGTACTTTGCCTTTCGAACCGCTTCCTGATCTCTTTCCAGTTGAGGTGCCCCGGCACTCGGATGTTCCGCAGACCTGCAAAAATTTTGGCATTATTAAAAAAGTCTGGATCTTTAAGAAAAAAAATTTTTAGAAGAGTTAAAAGTTGAAAGAAAAAGCGTTTTTGGCAACCGAAGCCGTTTTTTTCGAATCTGTTAGTACTCACAGATTTTTTTTGGATCGATTTTCAAATTCTTCTGTTCTTTTCATCATTTTTTAACTTACATGATACTCCTTAAGCTCAAAACGTTCTTTTTAATAGACATTCTCTCTATCTAGTCATGTCAAAGTCTCATTGGATGTAACCTATCTGAATTAATACTTGAGTATTGATTTTCAGTTTTTCTGGGATTCATTTAAACTGTAGCCACACTAAAAATCCGTTTCAGTAGCGTCAACCATACTTAAATCCAATTTAACTGTGAGAAAATGATAATTTTGGGCACAAAACATATATTTAGTTTTCGAATCAAAGTTTCATGGCTCAAAACAAAAATCAAATGTTGGAAAAAGGTTTTCAAAACATCAACAGAAGTCACATCCTAGTTCTAGCTCTCAAATTCTTGAAACATAAAAAAAATTTGAAATATATCAAATTCAAATCGATAAAAAATTAGAAATAAATGTGTCAAGGATAAAGAAGGCCAAGAATAATCTAGTTGAAGACCTCGATATCCTCGATTTTGTCTGAAGGATCGGCCAGTGACAAAGTCCGGAAACCGAGGCTTGTAGGCCCCGCTTTCTGGAACTCTGGACATTTTGCGCAAAAAGTTGCAAAATCAGCCCGACTTGATATATCACATATCAAGGCGAAACGTGGGCAGCATTTCCACAGAGTAGAAGCAGAAGTGACAGGTCTTCTTGACGAGTAAAACAAGAATTTGTCGCGAGGGAAGGTAACAACTTGGGACGAGTTGAGCACACCCGACTGACAATCTTTGGCGCCTCTTGGATCGCTCCCGCGATACTCCCCATCCAATTCGTTTTTTTTTTCTGTTTCGCCTCCGAGGAGACCTGTCGTATCAGACGTTGGAGGATCGCCGACCGACGGGTGCAATAATTCACCGCCCGGCTCAACAGTTACCAGCTGACAGACGGGTTCGCCCGCTGCTTCCGTCATTGCTGACCACGCTTTTTCCTATTTTTCTTTTCCGCGAGTTTCTGTCGTTTCCTCGTTTTCATTTCGAAACTTCGTCAAGCAGTTCCTTTTAAGGATTTTCTAATTATGAGGCCAACATTTTTTCTATATTTAAAAAACACCGAAAATTCGCTCTCTACTATTTCCGTCATGAAATGTGATTTAACCCCGGAAATTTGCCTCAGTTCTGATTATTTCGAATCACATTTTCTGATAGAATTGATCTTGTTAATGAACTGAGATTTTTTAGTAACTTTCTAGTTTTAATTACCTAAACCAAGTCGCAATATTTCTTGGGATTTTTAAAAACACTACTGACAAGGTCCACCTAGCTCAACATTAAATAAGATACTTCTGGGGGATATCTTCAAAGTTTTGAAGTGCGAACATTAGTTGGAAGTTAAGGACCAGCTTCTAATTGATCATTTTTAGACAGAAATAAACAATAAAAATAAAAATAAAAAGTTACCGTGTCCTGGTTTGACGGAAAGACGACGTGCGACGTTCCGCCAGTGATCACTATGCTTGGGAGGCCGACTTGTGGAGAGCTTCTGGCCCCGCGCGAACCGAATATTGCGACTTTCTTCGGAAGCATGACGGGTCCCGGCGAACGAAGACGGGGTACTGTTCTGCTCGAAGGAGAGGTTCTTGCGGTTCTGCTCGCTCGCCTCATTGGCGTCCATCCCATCGGAATTTCCGGCCAGAACTTAGGCAGAGATTTTTAGACTGGTAGTGGAGTTGATGGTGTTAGAAGTAGAAGAGTTTAGAAAGACGGCTTAATAGAAATTTGACGAATTTTTGAAGAAAATAAGCTGGAATGAAGTTGAGCCTGTGCAGGTAGTCCTAGCTGGGGAAGATGGAGAGAAGTAAATAGTGCAGATTAACTCAACTTGTGCTTGATTTTTAGTCGGAAAGCTTAACCAGAAGCACTTGAGGGGGTGGTTAAAACAACCGACGAGTTTTTGTGATAAAAATCCAAAATATAGCTCCAATATCTGGGCTGAATCTGCACCGGGGGTCTTTCGATGATACGACCAAGAAAATAACAATCTTTCCCCAAATAAATCCAGCAAGCTGTTGATCTACTAGAAGCTGGACTAGGAGAAATCCAGGTTTCAGTAGAACCAATGAGATGGTTTTGTAGAGATAGACAAGTCAAGGTGATACCCGGAACAGAAATCCTCGTAGTGATAGGTAGAAGAAATCGGCGAAATTCGGAGCAGCTGTATATTTTTTTTTCGAATGTAAGCCGGAGTCGTTAGTAGAGATGATCAGTCAGAAGTGAGGGTCGCAGATTTATCAAACTCGTTCTTGATTTTTTTGGAGAAAAGCCGGACCGAGTTCCTGATGATGATCAAAGAGACGGGAAAGAGATAGTGACAAATTAATTGGAGTCGACTTGCGGCGACACTTGCATCGCTGTGTTCGGGTATGTCGCGAGAAGTGGCTCCTGCTCGCGAGTCGCGTCGATTTGATTTTGATTAATTCACGGCCGTGGGGTCGATACTCCCTCGCGGTTGTAATCTTTTTTCGTTTGGCTAATTGGAGATGCGACTCGATTCTAGTTGATCGCCGGCGACAGCAGCCTTTTTCTTTCTTCCTCAACTTGTTCAAAAGATAATGCGAACGATGGGGATTGATAGTGGTGGAGAAGATGAACGACACTGGAGGATCAAGTGCAGGGAGAAGAATTTAGCGAGGCCAGAGGGCGGTTGTATGAGCTCGGAATGAGCCGGTGGAGGAGCTCTTGGCAAGAAACGACGACAAACCGAGAAATACGGCTGCTCCTGGCCGCTTTTTGACACTCTCTATCCCACACACACACACACACCATGCACATACACAACTGCGTAAAAACACAACGTGAAACTTGAACGTTTTACCCACAAAAAACATTCTTCAGCCTTGCTTTTTTCCTGTTTTTTGTTGCTGACACATCCCTCTTTCTGAAAAATCTGAACTAGTAGCTTGAAAATGAACCATTTTTGAGGATTGGGCGACATTTTGGAGCTTTTGAGTAATAGTTTTTCAAATAGTCCGATTGGATTCGCAATGAATGCAGTTTTTGTGAGTCGTGTTTTTGCTGACACTTTTTTCCCTCTTTTTGGAAATCGGAGCTGGTAGCTTGAAAATGAAACATTTTTAAAGCTAGGACGACAATTTGTAGTTCGAAGCCTTCCAAATTGGGAAACTTTGAACCATAGCTTTCTGAATCGTCTAATAGGACACGAAATTATCTGATCGCACATTTTAAATATTTTTCTTGCTGCCTCTTATTGTACTTTTCTGAAAAAAACGGAGCTGGTACCTTGAAAATAAACTATTTTTTTACGATAAGAGGACACGTTTGAACTACTGAAGTTCGCTTTTTCAAAGCCCTCTAAGTTGAATTTTTTCCAAACTTGGTCCTCTCAAATGGGCTTTTTTGGGGGTTTTTCGAACTTCTAAAGTTTTCTTTAGGAAATCAGAACGGATTTCTTGATATTGTGGTCATATTGGCCCTGTGAAACTTGGTCTATTTTTTAATTTTGTTGATTAAAATTTTTTTGGGGATTTCGAATTGCTCAATGTCAAGTTCTCCTAATCTGGTTTATTGAAAGCTTTCGATTAGAACTAGATGCTTAAAAAAAGTTGATAAATTTTGAAAAAAGTAAATCTGTAAAAATTTATGATTTTCAGAATGCGTACGCCCCGGAGATGTGGCCATCGGTCGTCGGCGTCGGCGCGACTCCGGACAAATCTTCGGCGTTGACCGGCGCCTTCTTCCCGGTTCTTTACGTCGGAGAGTCCAAGTTCGGTCTCTACGCCATCAATACTCTCGTCGACCAACACACTATCACCTACTCGCCCAAGCTGCTCGGGCCACCGCTTCTCGAAGGCCCAAGTCCCATCGCTCTTTCGGTGCGGCTTTTTTCGACTTTAAAAAATAGATAGAGTTGGTCGAAAAGAAAATACATTTGTAAGGGAAAATATTGGTACTGTAGAAAGAGGGAGAAAGTAAAAATTTTTTTGAAAAAAACTACAATTTCAGTTTTTCCTATTTATGATATTTTTTTCCCGATCTTAATTGAAACCTTATTTCCAAGATGCTCCTTCCAATGATCTTTTTCTGTGCATTATCCCTTAGAAAAAATTTTATTTAACTGCAAAATAAAGATTTCAAAAAATACTTCTGACGAACCAATTAATTTCCCTAGGACGAGGAAAAATCCAAGTTCCTCCCACATCGACGGCCAATCGTCCAGGAAAATCCTTCGATCACCTACAAGACCCACGACGGAGAATATCTCGTCTTTGGTGAGCCATTTCTTCACATTTTTCACACCTGAACTCTTCTTTTTGTTCGGCCCGTTTGATATTACAGCCGAGCATGAATTTGATGGGTTTGAAGGGCGCCAGATGTTCTCAACTTGTTCTAATTGTTTCTCGCCTCTTCGGGGGGACCTTGTAACAAAAGCAAAAGTTGAATCGAACTTTTAAAAACGGGTAAAATACTGAGGGGTCCCTGTAGAGGTTTAGGGTCTAATCGTAAGCCCTTAAAACTCAAGTGGCCTCTTTAGGGAGCTTTCAACTTTTTGTTGAGATCTGTGAAGAAATTCACATTCAAAAAACGCCAATTTATTAGGTTTTTCTCATGAAAATGCTTTTTCTCGTAGAGTTCATCACAATAATCGACTAGCTTGTCCCCTATAGGGGCCACTTTTACTAGCCTTAGTGGTCCTTATAGGGAAATAAAGCGAGCCCTAGAGGGGAACCTTCAAGAGCGCCTAAGGTTACCTCCATAGGAACCACTCTGGCGTTGACAAGTACTTTTCCAGATCGAATATTATCATTAAAAAGATTCAAAAATTAGATTTCAAATTTCGAGTGAGTTTTTTTTTCGGATGCTATGATATTTTTGAAGAATAAGTTGAAAAAAATAAATTGTGAGTGAATTTATTTCATTTCAACCTCGTAGCTTCTATAAAAAAATGGAAAGAAGGGTTTTTGAAAAGGTGAAATGGAATTATTTAAAAGAAACGGAAAATTCTATCACATTTTGAATGGGTATTTGAAGTAGAATATTCACGATTTCTTCTCCGAAACATTTTTTTAGATTTGATGAATAAAAACCGCTCAAACCCCATTATTACTGTTTCAAAAGTCTTTTAAATAATTGATATGTTTCTATTGATATTTTGTTTATTGATCGACCGATTATCAAATAAAGATCAATTGACTTTTTTAATGAAGGGCCGGAAAAGGTAATTCCGTCCAGGAATTGATAAAAAATGATTTTTCGAATAAATTATTTACTTTTCTCCTTTAGTTTAAAAGCTTACGAAACAAAGTTCCCGAAGAGACTCGTCAAAGTTTTGATTTCTGCTGTCATAATGACTTACGTCATTGGAAGAGCGGAAAAATCAGAAGAAATGGATCTTGAACCTTTTGAAAACCAAAAAAACCTCTATTTTAAGCATCGATTTGTCGGTATTTGTGTCGAAAAGATTAATTAGTTGGGGCGATTGGACGCCTTGAAAAATAACAAGTGTCGTGTTGAGACTTGTAAGAAATCGCGGGCTGGACTTTATGGGGCTTTTATCGAAGTTTTGTCGCCGTAAAACTCCTGTTTTTTTCTCATCGTGTCGCTGTAAAATCAATTGAAATAAAATTAAATGTATTCCTAGGGTGAAAATGTTACAAAACTTTGCATAGGGAAACAAAAAAATGGAGGCAAGAGAAAGTTGAAAATAAAATTGGAAAAGGAACGCTAAAGAAAGTTTATAGTTAATACAGTATATATAATTATTCTCTGAATTCGTTTGAAGACCCACAATCATTGTGTGACCCCAAATATCCCACAAAAAAATGGCTCTTTTTTTCGCAATTTGTCCATTATCTTTCAAAAAAATTTTTAAGATAGAACAGAAATTTTTTTCCGAATTGTTGTAGGAAATTTAAATTTTATAAAGGCATCTGTGTCTAAATGAAATTTAGAATGCGCTCAAAAAAATTTGGAAAATACCGAAAAATATTTTTTTTTCATAGCGATAGTTCAAAGCGGAAAGTTTTTTTCTCCTTATCATTTTCCTACAAAAAAATCCAGTGCAATTATAAAAGTTTTCAAACCAAAAAGAAGTTTTTTTCAGGGTACCATGAATCGCCGAAAAATGTACATGGGCGGGATAATTCCAACGAGGTTCCCGAATTTCGGACCAAACCAGGCTTCGATTTCCTTTTATGGGAACTCTGATCAGCATCGACAGGTTAGAAAAAAAGACGGTTCCAGGAAACTACTTTACGGTTTTTTTGAAAAAGAAGAAAAAAATACACCGATTTTCCTGGAACTTGGGATTTTTTTCGAAAAAAATTTTTGAGTAAAAAAACCGGAATTTTTTTAAATTAATAAAACTCTTTCGAGCTCTTTTTTTAAATGAAGATTGGGAAACTCAGCATCGATTGAAACGATTTTATTAATTTCCAGAAATTTAAGTCCCAATTAATTTGAATTTTTTTATATGTCTTCGCTTTATTTTTATACCATCAAAGTGCACTGATCTGTGAAAAAATCAATATTTTGTAAAGATTCAGCAGTTGTAAAGATTTAGCTCCTCATGTGAATCCGATACTAAAATCTGGTGTTAAACAATTTTCAACCAGTTTTGACAGAAAATCTGGAGCTCTTGAAGAAATCATTAGTCAGAAGAGGATTCCGGAACATTTTCTGAATATCGACGTCTTCAGATCACCGGGCCGAAGATAGAAGACGTTGACACGACGCCGTTGTTCGACCTCGTCCTCCAGATCTATCAGAAATATCCGCAGTACTTCATCGGAACGGCCGCCGCCGTGGTCGTCCTTCTTCTGACGACCGTTTGGATGTGCGGGAAACAGGTTTGTAGGATATGAAAGCCTTGGAACACACTTTGCGGTTGGAATTTTCCTGAAAATTCTTCTTGATATGCCAGGGGAAGGTTCTGAAAGTATAAATATATAAAACTTTCTATTTTTTGAAAAAGGACACCTCAAAGTTAGAGAAAATCCTCAAAAATCGTAGAAAAGGCTTTTTGGGGATTTTGAGCCCTTATTTCTCAGGACAAGCTTTCAGGAAGAATTTTGGGAAAATTTTAAAATCAGATCCGAAGTGATATAAAAATATCATTCTATTGAACTATAATTGTGAGTATCTAGAATTCATAGAAAAAAATTATTGAACAGTTTGCTTTTTTTGATACTTATGATGGTAGATTGATTACAAAGGAGTTTATGTCCGATTTAGTTCATCAAAAGAAAAAAATTAGTTAATAAACTAACTTGAAAAAAATGGGAAAAACATTTTCTAATCTATCATAATAGAGTCGAATAAAATTATAGGTTTATTTTTCGAACACGAATGCTGTAAAAAAACAACCAAAAGGTTAAAAAATCGGGATAAGATTTGAAAAAGAATATCGAGATATCCTGATCTTACATTTTCTGGGAGATTTCTGTAGACGACTTTTTTCTGCATTTTGAGCAGCACAATTCCTAATTTTTTTCAACCCGAAAAATCGTTTTTGAAGTATGAAAAAAGTTCAGACGCTAGATCGATCATAGAAAAACAGAAAAAAAAGTCGAAACGACATGATGTTCTGCTGTTCTTTTTTTTGCTTTTTTGTGTTGGGAATAGACTGGGAAAGCGTCATTTGAGAATTTTCCTTTCGGCAGCCGGGCTCTGGGATGATTGACGAGTTATAAGCAACACTCAAAGAATGCGCTGCAACCCGATACCGTCGAAATCACGATCTTTGATCTGGCTCACAAATCGAATGGACTTGAAGCTTCCTGCTAAGAAGATTCCGATAAAAATGAATTTATTTACAAATTCAACAAAGTTGTGTTAATCTTCAAAGCCTCTAAGCCTTGGAAAACAGATTTTTCAAAAGAATGTTCACAAGATTTTTCAATTTTTCATAGCTTCAGATGGTTGTGATTGACTCAAAACTCCTTAAAAGTGCCAAAAAGGTCACCGGACCGAGAAGTAGTTTCTAGTTGAACCGACTACAGAAAATGCTTTAAAAAAAGCATATTTTAAACTTCAAATTTAGAGTTTTTCTCAAAACTAAAGAGAGGTTGAGATATTTTGGGAGAATTTTCGGGGGTAAATCACATTGCAGCTACTTCCGGGTTCAAAGAGACAGCTGCCAGAAATATAATCAATGAATCACGGAGGCATCTAAGTAAAAAGAAATTTGTCAATAAGTGGTTGTATCATTTTGAATCGCAATTAGATCAAATTACTGAATCACTATATTTATCATTTCAGTATATTTGCGAAAAATGATGACCAATTTTTTTGTTTTGAAAGGTAGAACTCAGTTATAAACTGCTGTAGATAGTCACTATCAAAGCTCTTTTTTGATATTATCTACAAAAAGAATTTAATTTCAAAAAAATAAAATTGGATTTTTTTAAATTCTATAATAGGTAACAGGCTCTAATCTTGAAATGAGTTTTACTTCGAAATGAGGAATTTTGGGTTTTCAAATAATTTCCGTTTTCAAAAAGAAAGTACTCAGGAAAAAACGGAGTTTGTATTATTTTGTAATTTTGAACCTCAGAGCACACTATAGGCTTTGAATTTGAAAAAAAAAAAAAGGAGCAAGTTTTTTTGACCTTCAAAAATAATCTTGCCTGGTGTGGATGTCGTCTTGGATTTCTTTAAAACTGCTCTGAATCAAAATTGACGCTCTTTTTCGATTTTTAAAGCTCTTTCTTCTTCCAAAGATATCCCAAATACATTGAAACACTCTGAAATATCTTTCTTCAGTGGGGAGCTTCATCTTTTGCAATCGCTGAAGCTCGCAGCGCGCAGACCTCACGTCAGTCGAACAATGGCCGCACTTGGGCTTTCACTCGATCCGAGGAGGTTTTGAGCAAGATTTATTCGGAGCAAATCTTTAAGTTTGAAGTTGCCTGATGGTTGGATGAACGTCGGCAAGTTGCAGTACAATCCGACGGAAGTTTTGGGTCGTGGATGCGAGGGAACTGTTGTGTACAGGTAAATGAAAGCTACCGTATCTTGGTGCTTGAGAAAAGCCAGGAAATGGCTGAGGAAGAGTTTCAGTTCCTCAAATAACTATTCGAAAAGATCTTTAATTTCACTCTGTCTCAGTAATTCTAGGCGAATTTTATAAAAATTTCACGATCTAGAAGAAAAAGGTGTGGAAAAATAGAGTCTCAAGACCTGAAATAAGATCTTTTGGTGAAAAAATAAAACTAGAGAGGAAATATTCGAGAGATTTTTTTCGGTCTTCTGAAGGCTTTTTGAAGATTTTTGCCTTTCTTCAGAGGAAAGTTCGATGGCCGAGAGGTGGCCGTGAAACGAGTCGTTTCGGAATTCGTAAGGTTCGTCGATCGGGAAGCTGACCTTCTCCGAGAAAGTGACACTCATCCACACGTCATCCGATACTTTTGCATGGTTTGTTTTGTTCCCACCTCATTTTTCCTGGTCATGGGAACAGCGGATCCGATTTTTCCAGTTAAGATCATAGAACTGATCTTTTGGCTTTTTATGAGCAAGTACAGAATTCAAACAGAAATATAGTCAATGTTTCCCGGCTTGAAAGGCGTGGGGGGCGGGACGCGTAGCGTGTGCGTACGAGGTTCTTGGCACGAGTTCATTTCAAGCGCCACGGACTATTCAAAAAGCTCGGTCACCGCTCTTTCTTTGTATGTTCTACTATTGTTTCATGCGCACATGAAAAAAATTGATATAGCTGATTCACGGCTGGCTTGAGCCATTGAGAAAAGGGTCCTGCCACGAAAAGAGACGAGACAGTGCCCTGGTTGGTGGAGAGTGCAGACAGGCCACGCCTTTTTGCGTCCCAAGCTAGCCGTGAATCGTCTATGAATAATTTAAAAAGAAGTGAAAAGAGCGATAAAAGAGTACCAGCTAGTGTACCAATATTTAAATGACCGGAGTATATTTTTTTTTTCTTTTGAATCATATTTTTTCCATTTTTAGGAAGCCGACAGTCAGTTTCGATATTTGGCCTTGGAACTTTGCGTGGCTTCTCTGAACGATTTCGTTGAACATCGCGAGGTTCAAGACAAGGTCGAAATCACTCAGTTGGATATTCTACGACAAGCCACCGATGGCCTTGCTCATCTCCATGCCTCGAAAATCGGTAAAATACTCTTGAAACGAGAAATTTCAGATGTTAAAGTTGTAGTTACGGGTCTTTGTTTGAAAGTATTCAGGTTGAAATTTTAAATTATTTCCTCCAAAAGTTATACTCTTGGGTCTCTCCAGATCAGAGAATATAGTTCGAAAATTAAAACCTGAAAATTCTAAGCCCTCAAAAACATCACTAGGAATGTTCAGTCAAGATTTTCGAGCTCAGTGAACAATGCTAGGAAAACGCGCTCTATCGATAATGTTCTCCAAGATTTATTTTTCCAAGTTCCACTCAATATGTAACAAATTCAATCTTCCTGAAAGTTTCTAAAACTTCGTTTTCTTCTTCTGTGAACGGAAACTTCATGGGAGTTTTAAAAATAACAGTTACAGTAACTCTAGAAAGTTTCAGAAAAAATGAATTCCCAACAAGGAATTTCTGACCGAAACCCCTTTTTTCGTATCTTTTCTGACGGTACTTTAGTTAAGAATAAAATAAAAAATCTTACTGACAAACTGACTTCCTAAAACTTTTTCTCTTTTCCAGTTCATCGTGATATGAAACCCCAAAACGTGCTGATAACGATGAAAAATCAAAGAGGACACGTCCGGGCGGTCATTTCCGATTTCGGCCTCTGCAAAAGGATCCAACCGGGCCGAAACTCCCTGTCCCGAGGCCTGGCCAGCGGTCTAGCCGGAACTGAAGGCTGGATCGCCCCGGAAGCTCTCGTTTCGGCCAGCACCGTCAGTCGTCCGACGTCTTCTCCCATCTGAATTCTTCTTGCAGAGCTATCCGGTCGACGTCTTCTCCTTGGGCTGCATCTTCTACTACGTCCTGTCCAATGGGGCCCATCCTTTCGGGAGGGCGATCCAGCGCCAGGCAAATATCGTCAACGGCGACTTTTCTTTGGCGAAGATTTCGGAAACTAAAGGTACTCCTTGAGCATGAAGGACTTCGAGGGTCTTTTCTTGAAGTCTAGGAGGTTTTCCTGCATCTCATGCGTCATTGAGTTTTTGTATCGACCTAAATCATCTTCCTTAAACACTCAATTTTAGTACAGGAGAAGAAAGAAAATTTTCCAGATGGATCCGTGTCAGAACCACTGATAAAAGCGATGCTGGAATCCGACCCGGCAAAACGACCGCCTGCCTCGACCGTACTAAACCATCCGTTCTTCTGGTCTTCTGAGCGGAGACTTGCCTTTTTCGGCGACGTCTCCGACCGGGTCGAGAAGGAAGAAGACTGCAGTACGGTGGTCCGGAGACTGGAGACCGACGCGAGGGCCGTCGTCTGCGGCGGCTGGAGGGAGAAGATCTGCGATCCCTTGAAGGAAGGTCGGCCGATTCCCGAGTCAGGGGATAGTCTTACTGAAAAGTGTAGCTTCATCAAAATATGTGAAGCAGAGCTGATGACGCGGCTTCCCCGGGTAGCTTCGTGACTTTATGCGATCGTCCAGGGAAGACCCGACCCGCAAAGTTGAAATTTTGAAAGACTCTTTTGACCATGAGACTACTTCGCGGGTCGGAAAGCCCTGGGGCGCATTGCGGTCGTCCCGTCTCATCAGCAGTTCTGAAGGAAAGATTTAAAAAGCTTGGGAAGCGGTGGTTTTACGGTTCTCTTTGAAAACTCCGGTAGAAAAAACATTGAGATATTTTAAAACAAATATTATCAATAAATTGCCTGACAATTTCACAACTTGAATATTTTTTCGCTTGCAGATCTGCGCAAATTCCGCACTTATAAAAGTCACTCGGTTCGAGATTTGCTGCGGGCGATGCGAAACAAAAAACACCATTACCGGGAATTGCCCGAGGCGGTTCGACAGTCGATGGGACATATTCCCGAGGAGTTCCTCCATTATTTCACTTCCAGGTTCCCTAAGGTACAGCTTGAATGTCGCTGATTCACGGCTGGCTTGAGCCATCGAAAAAATGGGTCCTGACACGATTAGAAAAGAGACAGTTCGTAGTTGGTGGAGGGCGCAGACAGGCCAGCCATGAATCGGCTATATCCTTTTTTTCACAAATTGAATTTAAAATTCCAGCTTCTGTTGCATGCTTACACGGCAATGGAATGGTGTGCATCTGAGCCGGTTTTCCGTGGATATTATTCCGATCAGGTTGATCATTTGGTGATAAGAAATATTTCAAAAAAAGCTTCAAGGTCCGAGAAGCCATGGCTAGTTTAGTGGAGGAGGACGAGAAGCAGAGGAAAGAAAATGCGACGAATATGGCGAGCGTCTGGGTCCGAGGGCAGGTAGATGACATTCTCGTTTCTGACAGTTTTTTTTTACGAAGTTTGCGAGAAAAGTCGATTACGCTGAGATTAGTGCGCGATTAGTAAAAACGGTAAAATGTCTACTAAAGGCGTTAGGGAACAAAAAGCCCGACAAAATAGTCCTCCCCATATGGATAAAGTTTTGTGGTCCCTATAGGGTTTTTTGACCTGACCCTTGGCCCCTAAAGCTTAAGAGGTCCCTATAACTAAATCCCCTAGAGGGGCTACTTTTGCAACTATATTGACCGCTAAGGTGGTTATTGAGGGAAATGCACGAGAGTGGTTGCCCCTCTAGTGACTACTCTGGAGTTCTGAGGGATTGTTCTTGAAACGATCAGCGAAATCATGTGTGTTTTTCAGGTCCGAGGTACGCCTGAAACGAAGAAAAAAGTTTTTTCGACCCCAACTTGAAATCAACTCGTCTTCTACTTGTATATTTTTCATTCTTTACCCTTATATGTCGGTTTTTTTTCAAACCCGAATTCAGGTATTTTCTAGAAGCCAAGGGATTTTTTCTATTCATTTCATCTTACCAAATTATCGTGTGATATGCTTTTTCTCGTTGTATTTTTGTTTGTGATCTCTGTTTTTCGCCTATCTTCTGATACCCTTCGTTTTCAAGGTGATTATGACGAGTTCCTTGTTTTCTTTTTTTCGTGTATCATCTGATTTAATGCACATAATATTCGTCGAATCAGAAGCGTTGGAATACTTTTTGAAGCTTGCTTTTGTGGTGTCTTTTGCTTTTTTGCTTTTTTTTTTTGTCTTTCTGACGCTTCTGATACAATTTTCATTCACAACGAAAACCAATGATTTTTTGATTTTTTCGAAATTCTTGTCGACGGGACGGGGTGCAGTTTGCACAATCCATTAAAAATAAAACTTTTCAACTTTTCAAGATTACAAATGATGACGGCCCATCGCAATGTTTGAAGGTGGCGGGAGTCCGAATTCAGACCTGGAAATTATTTTTTTGGTTTTGAGGATCCCAAGGTAATCTAGAAAAATAAATGAGTTTTTTTAAGTCAAGAATTGATTGAAAAAAATACAATTTTAAAAAAATTTTACCATTTTTTTAGCGATAGAGAAAAATAAGAAAAAAAGGGTAAATTTTAATAACCATTCCAAAAAGCATGCTGCAAGTCCATTCCACATGCGGAATTATTTCATCCTCCGCCATTCTAGCTTCTCTGCGCCTCAATTTTTGGGTGATAGGATTTTTTTTATAGACGCATAAAATGATCAATAAAAATGGCAATCCCGTCAAATATTCTTGAGTTAAAACTGTGAATTGATTTATTAAATCTAAATTACGGGGAAAACTTTTAGTGGCCACCAGTTATGTTGATCCATTGACCCCTAAAGTGGCCACTACAACTTTTAGTGGTCTAGTAGTAGCACTTAGACCTCTATAGTGGCCACTAATTTGACTACTATAGTGGACACTAAAACGTCAAAACCCTATAGTGGCCACTAAAAATTTTCAGTTTTGAGTGATCAAATTTTAGCTGCCTCTTTAGAAGTCGAAAGGGTACTACTGGAACGCTCAAAACAACTATAGTGACCACTAAAACGCAAAGTATTGGCTTTTATAAAGGTAGTATTAGTGGCCACTTCAGTGTCCTCTCCATTCAGTTCTTGAGAAACCTCTTAAGTGGCCACTATATTTCTTTTTCAGTACTTGTAAGAATTCATGAGTTAGAACTGAATAGACTATCTACAAATTCTTCCACCAAACACTAAAACCAACACAAATCCAATCGGAGGCGGCTGCATTGGAGGTCCTGCCAGAAGTTGAACATCTCCGATGAACGGATTCGAGGCCGAAAAGCCCATGGGCGCCATAGGCTGAGTCATATTTTGATAGTCTGAGGTGTTCACTGCAATAAAATAGAAAAATAATTGAGAAAACATGCAGAAATTAACCGGTCGGAGCTGGGAAATCAGGCGGAAACGTGGTGATGGGGACTGTGGACACCTCAAAACACCCCATGCAACTCGTTAATTATTATTTATTATTTATTAGTTATCATTAATTATTAATCATCCAGTTATTTACATATACTTCTGTAAAAACTTTTTGATTCCATTCCTAATGATTTTCAGGGTTGGAAAAAAGCCGAACCAATTTCTTCTGTTCATATTTCGAACGTCAAGCCCAATGACGTCATTCGAAAACGCTCTGTGGATGGCTCGCTCTCTGACTGGATTATTGCGCTTTAGGGGCGGAGCTTGAGCTGTGTCTTGGCATTGAAAATCTGACTAGACTATAGTCGCGGTGTTTTTTCGGCGCTAATTCAAAAATTGACGCATTATTTTCTTCATTTTTTATAAAAAAGAAAAATAGAGCATCTTCTTCGAAAGGTTTTGATCTGATTCAAACATCTTTTTTCAAACGAAGTCTCTGTTTCGTTCATAGAATTTATCTCTTTCTTTAGTCTCCTTGAACAATACTTCAGCACAAACCATTTTAGACAGACTCAAATATGATTGATTAATGAACAACTTTTCAAAAAAAAAGAAACAAACTCTGTCGTCGCTGAAGTCGATCAGATCTCCCGAGGAGTTCAATGGAGCTGGACCAGGTGCTGTTGAGTTCGAGCTCGTCATCGGAATCGGTTGATTTCTGAATGTTTTTCATTTTTGAAAAGACAACTTTGGTGAACAATGAACCCACAGAAAGCTATGCACAAACTTTAAAAAGTGAGCAGAAACGTACACGAACCGATTTTCTCGGTATGCATACTTGCAATCATTTTTCCTCTGGTTCATTTTCCGGTACCATTTCAAAACATCGAAATTCAAGTATTTTTGTAGATGAGTAACAAAGTTTAAAAAAAGCAAAGTATGAGTTTTTTGGATCGCCAGAGCGGTCCCTATAGGGGTTAAACAGCCCCATAGGGGACAAAAAGTGCCGCCTACAAAGGTAGGTAAAGTGGCCCCTATAGGTAGGGACCGCATGCAGTTTTCTAGAAACCATCAGATTTAAATGATTTTCATATGACCGTGTACTTCATAGTCCTGGCAACTTTTAAAAAAAGAGATCTTGGAAAAATATTGTCTCTGAACGAAGTTACAGCCATTAAAGCGCGCGTTTCGCGATTTCAATTCTCTGTAGAAAATTTGGTCGAGGTCGCGAAAAAAGTGGGCGTTGCAAGGGTGCGGCGCGCTCTCAAAGACCAGTAAAAAAATTAGAGAAAAAAAGTTTCTTGTTAATTTTTTTTCGCACTAAAAACACACTAATGCTAGTTTTTTTCATTATTGGAAATGATAGAACAATGTCCAAAGATGAGGACCAGCAAAAAAATAAACACTGAAAAAAATAAGTTGAACGATTTTCAACGGCAAAAAAAGCAAAATTAATATTTACGGAGTTTTCAATGCTTTTGATGTTCAAAAACTGTTAAAAATATCATTAGGAAGCATGGATAAACGCAAAAATCTCCCTGAAACAAGATTCGATACAGAATTCGGAACCAATAAAAGGTTGTGAATCCATAGAAACACGAATAAATTAATTATTAATGACTTTTTATAATCATTCTTGTAGCAATACAGCACTTTTTAAATGCGCTCAACTCATTAAAATCCACTTTTTATGTCTTATTCAGGTCAATTTCCCGACTTTGAACGTGTTTTTCCAGTGGAATCCGGATAGTGGGAGTTTGGCGAGACTAAAAATAATTTTTTTTGTTCTGGAAAAAGCATGTGAAGTTCTATTTTGTTTTTCCGAATTACATTACTGAACGTTTTGACTCATTTCAAAAAAAGTTTTTACGCTATTTTTTTGCTTTGAAAAACATCGCGAATTCGGAATTTTCGTGGGTCGGTGAATGCACAATTTCGCCAACGCGCAAATGCAGGATGCTATTTTTATTGTTCGAATGAATCAAATTTTGAAAGCACAAGCAGGATTTTTTTCATTTTTGACTATGTTGAAGAAAAAAAGTAATTCAAATCAAAAATAAGAAAAAAATAATTTGCCTACGACTGCTAAAAACACTTTCCCAAGTGTTTCCAAAAAATCAAAAATCAAAACTTATTTTTAAAATTAAGGTTGGAATGAAAGTTTTATTTTTTATTTTTAAAATGTTCTAAAATTTATAGAAAACAGGGCCGATTATTTTCCGAACCATGATTTTCCGAACCAAAATCCGAACCAATGCTTAGACGAACCACCTCATGCTTACCAGAACCAAAAGTTTTTATGATTCGCCGAACCAAATGTCGGTATTTTATGTAGGTGTTCATGGTAATCGGTTTTCGTTTCTCGCATCCTAAGAGACCGAGAATAAGTCTAGCGCTCCATCCTTTTTCCGAATCGTTATATAACTTTCCGACCTAACCTTTTTTTATGCTTTTTCGAGCCGTACTTCGATTCATTTTTTTCAGAAAGCACCTTTCTTTAGATCTGCTCATTTTTTTGATCGGTTCTATGTAATTTTTTTCGCCCATAACCGGCTTTCAGCTTTTACCCTTGACTATTTAGATACCTCTGTTCAGATCAGATTCTTTCAAAAATTTGTTTGATTCCAACCCAAGTTTGAAATTGGAAGTATCTGGTCTATGACTTCTTTTAGGGTCGTCTGAGAAAAGAAATGAAGTCGCCACAGATACTGCCAAGTGTCCTAATCTTGGCATTAGTGTTTATATTTTTTTTACCTATTTTTCAGTCAGTCATTTATTTCGTTGTTTAGTCACATATATTATCGACTGAGCTGGATGCAAGAGCTTCTCAAACTTCATCAAACTGGAAGTCCAAATTTGTAGTCGAAGAATAGGATAGAATTGTCTGACGGTTCCTCGTTTCACGCGCGAAGCTCGTGCTTTAGGTGAAATTTTTGAAATGAAAGATATCACTTCTAGTGAAGAGTTTTAAAAGAAGAGCTGATCTTTAGGCCTGCTCAAACCTTTTCTAAGAACAGAACTTACAGTTCATTTTTCAAAACTGTTCTAAAAGCTCATAATTTATAGTTCAATCTCAGTTTTTTTTTTTCTCTAGTTAGAACTTTTGAAACGTTATATAACTTTTGAAAAAGTTATATAACGATTCGGAAAAGGATGGAGCGCTAGACTTATTCTCGGTCTCTTAGGATGCGAGAAACGAAAACCGATTACCATGAACATCTACATAAAATACCGACATTTGGTTCGGCGAATCATAAAAACTTTTGGTTCTGGTAAGCATGAGGTGGTTCGTCTAATCATTGGTTCGCCTAAGCATTGGTTCGGATTTTGGTTCGGAAAATCATGGTTCGGAAAATAATCGGCCGAAAACAGTTCAAAAAAAATTTTTACGATTTTTCGCGGAAAATGCCAAAGTTCCCGAATTTCGAAAGTTGCGATTTTCCGACGCTTCGATACTTGAAAGCACAAGCAGGAATCTTTTTATTTTCACTTATATGGTGTATTTTTACATGCTTAACAAAATAAGAAAAAAAAATAACTTGCCTACGAGCGGGATTGTAAGTATTCAACGTTTTTCCACTTTTTTTCGCACAAAGGCGTCGCGAAAAAACGTCATTTTAATCGATCCTTTTTATTTACAGCTATTTCTTCTATGTAGAATTGTAGAGCATAGCCGATTGTATGTTACCCTCAATTTTTTCCCAAAACGGTTCAGGGAAACTGCATAAACAACAATGAAATGTCAAAAATGCAACGAAATATACGACGTTTTTTGGTCAGCGAGGGGGTGTGGCCTTGCGGTCCCTACCTATAGGGGAACCTTCCACGGACCCTAAGGTCCCCCCCCAGTGATCACTCTAGAGCTCCATAGTTCAAAATTCCTTTTCTTCTCTCGAAGTCCACTCAAAAACTCAACTGGAGTATTTTAAAGAGCATTGCGAATTAAAAAAATATTTTCAGTTTTTTTATGAGGTTACCTAAGATAATCAAAACATACAGCCAACACTTCTGATAAAACTATAAAAGAAAACTCAACGGTTGAACGGCGTCAGAAAGCCGTCGAGCAAGGAGTTCATCCTGACGGAGTTGTTCTTCTCGAAGACGTCGTTTCTCACTTTCCTCCCGATAAAAGTCCTGCTGGAGTCGCCAGGCAAGTTCTTCGTCGCTTAGAACTCTAGAAATAGAGCTACATAACTTCACTTTCATGAAAATAAAGTTCTTCAAAAAAAGAAAAAAAAATAGGCCTTACATGGGCTCATTGGCTGCTCGACGAGCCGCCCGTGCAGCTTCATCCTCTCGAAGTTGCTCCTCGCGGGTTTTCTGTCGGTCCGTGACAACTGTTCCGTTTACCGTTCTATTATGAGAATAGTAACTGAAAATGACAGTGGAAGAAGTTAAAAGAAAGAACGTCAAAACTTGTTGAATTCTTCTTCTTGAAGTCGGTGAGCCAGATTGAAGTCCTCACCCGACCGAAGGCGGCTTTGAACTGAAAAAAGGTGATTTTTGTGCTGAACTTTGAAGAATTTTTTTATACTACACGTTGGCCTGTTCCTTTAGAGTACTAACAAAAACTCCAAGAAAGGCTTTACAAGATGTAGTGTCCCCTGAAGTGGCCACTTCAGTCGTTTTCCATCAAGTATTCCTTCCAGTAACTCTGATAATTTAAAAAAAAACAGATCGGAACAGTTATGTTAATCAATTGACCCCTAAAGCGGCCACTAAAATTATTAATGGTTAATTAGTAGCACTTAGACCTTTATAGTGGCCACTTATTGTCAACCCCTTAAGTGACCGCTATTTTTACTACTATAGTGGCCACTAAAACGTCAAAACCCTATAGTGGCCACTACAAATTTTCTCAGTAGATTTACTTTTTTGGTAAAGTGGTTCCTAGAATGGAACATTCGAGCGCCCATCCCTATAGGGACCACTCTGGAGTTTCTGTTTCTTTTTTTTTTTAAAGTTAACTGTTAACTTAAAAATTCATTTTTAGATTAAAACTTCAAATATTTCCAAGATTGCACTAGAACAAGCTTACTTTCAGAAAAGGTTGGAAGTTGTTCTTCTTCCCGTGGCATGATCGCAATTCCTTTTGGAAGACACCTGGAGAAAAATATTTTCGAATGACAGAAAAAGAAGGTTAAAAATTGATATTCAACAAGAGAAAAATGATGATTTATACAATATAATTCAATCAAAGAGTGAATGAGGCTGTTTCTTATTACTCGAGCTCAAAAGTTTTTGAAAATGTGACATTTAGTGGAATGAAATCGAAATTAGTCATTATTGTCCTCTTAACATCTCTGTATGGACCACAGTTTTTGTTTGTAAGGTTGAAAAAAGGAGGAATCTCATACTGATGAGAGTAGCCAGCCGTGCTGACACGGGATCCCAGCGGGTCTACCCATATTAAGCCCGTATAAGCGCATCAGGTAGAACTTCATCAGGAATAACTGACGAGACAAACGCGAGGTCGGTGGCGGTACATTGACGAACTCGCAAAAATGTCGCCTTTTTCTAGGCGCGATCTCGCATTTATCTTGCATTTCGGAAATGTTCAGATTGCGAGAGAAATGCGAGCTCGCGCCTAGAAAAGTGCGAGCTCGCGACCATAAAAATGCGAGATCGCGCCTAGAAAAAACGCGAGATGTTTGCGAGCTCGTCAATGTACCGCCAGCGTCTCGCGTTTATCTCGGCAGTTATTCTTAGTGTTCTGTCATTCATTACTAGAACCGTTTCAACACAGTTCGGTTTCTGCTTTTCGAAAATAAACACAGCGGGTCACCTATTTTTTTTACACCCCCTCCGTTTTAGCACAACGGAGACAGAAATAACCTCAAAAAACAAGGGTTTAATAGGAGTACACTCATTGAGACACCTGACCAGCAAGAAAGAAGTAGAAAAATGTTCAAAATAGGTCAAAAAAGAGAAAAAGGCGAGTCAAAACGAAGTTGGACGAATAAAACAAACATTGAGAAATGCGTCGAAAGCCGAGAAAATCGATGAGATTCATGGATCACGCGTCTTTGGAAAACAAACACACGTGTTTATTTTTTGATTTCGTCATAAACTTTTATATTTCTGTTTATTGATTGGAAAGTTTTATAGTTCATTCCCTTTCGGCTTGAGGTGATATTTAAGGAGAATCCAAGAATCCTAACTTGTCAAGATTCTATGAAAAAAGTACGGGTTTTAGAGTTTCCGTAGTCTTTTTTTTGTCTAAAAAGCGGTGAAACGAGTATAAAATTTTAAAAGGAAGGTTTCAACTGTGGAAAGGTGAGTCATACAGCGCGGAGAGAGAAAATCGAATAAGAGACGCAGAGAAATGGAAAGTCGAGGGGGCCGAACAGCTGACCGAATTCCTCAAAAACACTGGTCTTTCTGGAAGCGAGAAAGATAGTAATAAATTCCTCGAATTATGAAGAAAAAAATGATAAATTTTTGGATCGGCCAATAGAAAATATAGCCGAGTGGAATTTTTTCAGCAGGAAGTGATTTTTTTTCAAAAAACATTTCGAGCTTCGAAAAACCACTTGTTTGCTTTGAGAGGCTGGAGACCTCTTTTTCGACTATTTTTTCTAATACAAAACTTTGTTCAGTGGTTTTTAACAGCTTTTGAGAAAAGAAAACACTTCAAAAAAAATGAAAAAAATTTACCAAAGTTCTCACTTTTTTTCAATTTTTTTAAAGTAAAAAAAGCTTTTTTTTTGTGAAGGTTTCTTTTTAAAAGGCTTTTATTTTGATAATAAATGAATTTTTTTCCGTTGTTTTGAAAAATTTCGAAAAATTGACACATAAAAAAATGGAAAAACTGGTGCAAACGTTGAAAAAGTTCTAACTTGCCTATATTTTTGAAAAAAATATTTCCAGAGCTTTAATATTTTTTTCCAATGTAAATCCGACTTCGAAAAATGATTTAAAAAAAGAAAAAAATATTTTTTTCGAAAACTCAAAAAAACAGTACTATAATAAACATTGGAACATGTTTGATAAAAGACGAACGTTTTTTTATTTGCACTTCATTTATCGCTTTATCTCTCCTTCTAGTGCAAAAAAAGTAACGATTAATAGTTTTACTGTTACTATCATGATATCATTTAAAAAAATAGAGAAGCGGTTCGAAAATTAGTTAAAAAAAGTAGATGGAAACCCGTATTGTTAAATTCCATTTTTTTGTAAAAACAAAGAAAGTGGATTTTTTTATTCACCAAATTTAGAATAAGAGAAAAATATTTATCCAATAAACCCTGTTTCTTTCCCACATTTGTTCGATTTTTTCAAAAAATCAAATTTCTCATGGTTATCAAAATTGAATTTCCCTTGCAAAAAAAATTCCGTTGCATCAGCTTTTATCAGTTTTCCCCCGTTTGAAATGATGATTTCATAAAAAATCGTTATCTCTTGCCGTAGTTTACAAGCTTTGTCTGATGCTTTTTCACTTCCATTCTCAATTTTGCTTTTTTTTTCTTTTGAGATTTTTTTGAAATCTAGTTTTTACTTTTCAACAAGTTTTTTTCAAAAAAAGATTTTTTTCTTTATGGCCTGGTGATGAAAATTTCAGAAAATTTTGTATCAAAATAGAAGAATTTTTTTGAAAATTAATATGGCTTATGAAAACTTGCAGGGCGAGAAACTGAATTTTCATAAGCTTCTACTTTTTTTTTATTCTTGCAAATTTTCAATTTCCGATCGAAAGATTTCCAAATGAATGAATTTTCGACTACTGAATATTCCAAGGGAGGCTAAACTCCAAGATCCGTTTGAAACGAAAAAGAAAGTTTTTTTAGACTAAATATTTAGTTCAAATTCAACAGAAAAACTCAGTTTTTCAAACAAACGATCCATGAAGCAGAAAAATGATTTTTTTCTCAAAGCTGAAAGTCGCTGATCCCTATAGGGACCACTTGAGCTTTAAGTCAGACACTAAACTCCTACAGGGACCACTTTGACTTTACCCCTAAAAAAGGCACTTTTTGTCCCATATATAGGAGTTGTTTTTTTCGCTTAACCCCTATAGGGACTACTTTGGGAGTTCCTTCAGATTTATGATCTAATTTTTTTCATTTTTTTGAACTTTTTATTACCCTTCGGTTCATTTTTCCGTTTTTTTTTTTCAAAAAAACCTCTCTATTTGACTTCAATTGTCTTGTTCGAAGTCAAACACTAACTCAACCGAAAAAGAGAAAATGGTTTGGCCCAAGCGGTCCGACCGTCTGACCGTCTGTCGGTCCACGCGTCGTGACCCATTTTTATTCGACCCTCCGTCTCTCTCGCGTCTCTTCTACTGAACATTGGAAAACACGCGGTCCTAATAGTCCCTTCACTATGAATTTATTCGGAAAAGCCTGAATTTACCATATGTGCTTCGATATTGGTCATCTAGTGGGCCGAGTTGCGATGGAAACTTCGGATCCAGTTCTCCGGCGGATTCCGGCTTCGTTCAGATCTGCAGCTGTACTGTTTGGCGGCGTCATGTGCATGATCACGCTTGGGACCGTCTACACTTTCGGTAGGTCGGAAAAATCTAAAGAAAATTATAGCCGAAAAAAAAGAAGTTTGTTCACATGCTAAATTTAGAACGGTAGATATAAAATAATCACTTTTCTGAAGTTTTTTTTTCACTTTTTCTATCATAGGTTCGAAAAAAATTATTGGAAATGTGTTGGAATCTCGGATATCAACATTTTGAAGCCCATTAAATAATCTAAAAACATAAAATTCCATAAATATTTTCCAGGAAACATGCTGCCCTACATGGTATCGTATTTCCGATGGAAAATCAACCCGTCGATGACGTCTGGGTCTCTCATTTGGCTCCAAACACTCATGAGTCAGTTTTATAAACAATGGATAGAGAAGACTATCCGATAGAAAAAAAATGGAATGAAAAATGAAAAAATTTTGAAAATTTGTGATAAAGATAACCATAAAAAAATAGGCTATAATCGGGCTTTATTTCGTAAAAACTAGAAAGTCGTGCATGTTGAAACTTTCATAATCTTTTCCTGATATGTCAAGGAGTTTTCTGGCAGAATTTCAACCAAAAATAGAATGACGTTCCTTATGAAACTTTCAGGCGGTTTCCCAATGGGAATGGTCGTCGGCGGCGTTTTGGAACGGTCCTTAGGGGGAAGAAAAGCCGCGGCGATTGGCACTTTCCTGTACACGTTTGTTGATCATGATTTTTCATAACTGTTTTGAGGAATTCACTATTTCTTCCCAATAAGTCGGAACACACTGAAGAATATATTACCCATGATTTTTTAAAATTTCACTTGAGGCTTTGATTGAAAAAACCTGCTTCTTTTGAACCTTTTTTTTTTAGTTAACTAAGCCTGTTTGAGTCCAAAAAATGGAAAAAAAACGCCTAGTTTTGCTGAGAAGCAGGCATTTTAGAGCAGATACTTGACGAAAATTTTGTAGAATTCACTCCAAATTTCAAATTTTCTAGAACAGGAATCGCCGCTACCTACTTCACGATCCAGCATTCCTACGCGGCGACTCTTTTTTCGATGGGAGTCGTGGCTTCGATGGGCAGCAGCATCGCCTACAATTCCATCCTGCCCACTGCTCAACGAGTAACTATTTCAATAGTCAATCCTTGCAGACTTGAAAGACGAAATTGGTAATATGACAAGGGTGACGCGTTGCGTATGCGACGCGGCTTTTCGGCGGGAAACTCATGGTTTTGCTTTTTTTATTTTTTTGATAGTTTTCTGATGATTTCTGGCTTAGGCTTACAAAAAAATTTTGTGGCAACTAGTTAAACGATAGATTTACAAAAAAATAACAAAAAAATAAATTTTTTTCCAAATGTTTACATTTTTGCGTTGACGATGAGGTTACCCCCCAAAAGCCGCGACGCGTACGCAACGCGTCAACCTTGCAACTTTCACGCCTGTTCGAGGCGGTCGGCAGTATTGTGGTAGTTCAGAAATGTTCTCGGTAAAAAATGTATACCTATCGAAACGTGACTACATTTCTTTTCTTGAAAGACTCTGAACAAACTGGAAAAAACTTTTTTTTCACCGGCCGTCTTAGCACTGCCCTGAACATGCATTATCTGCCAATAACGCTTTTCAAACCAGCAAAAATGGACTGAAGCCCGAGCTATACTGACGTGAACTTTCAGTGGCTGCCTGACAACGTCGGAATGGCCGGAGGGATCATAATCGGAGGCTACGGATGTGGAGCGTTCATCCTGTCGCCCATGCAAACCACCTTCATCAATCCTCTCGATTATCAAGTTAACAAAGATGGGTTCTTCACCCAGGAAGACCTTTTGGAGAGGGTTCGTTTTTCTTTTCTTTTCTCTTTTTGCAAAAAAAAAACCTTCAATTTTCATATTTGCTGTATTTGTCAATTTTTTTACTTCGCTTTGATCTCAAAAACCTCTTATTCTTAGGTTCCGGCAGTTTTCCTCGTCATGGCTTCCTTTTTCTTTTGCTGCCAAATTATCGGTCTCATCTTGATTGGCCAGCCTAGAGAGGTAGGAAACTATCCCCTTAATAAAATTTCTGAAATTTGAGGACATCGAGATTGAAAATGACAGTCTTATCGGCACAGAGGAGCAAGCTCAAGTGGAAAAACTGAGAATTTCTCAGCAACTCAGGTATTTTTCGGTCTCTTCTCAAAAATTCACCTTTTTTAGAACCTCAACTTTCGCTGTGCTTTTCCTGTCTTTGACTTGCAATGCTCTATGGGTTCAACTGACAAGTGGATTATACAAGGTGACAAAAACTAAATTCACTTTTTGTAATTGAAACTCTTCAGACTTTCGGTCAACAATTCATTTCGAGTGATTTCTTCTTGTCCATGATTGGCTCGATGTCTTCCATTTTCAACGCGGGAAGTCGTGTCGCCTGGGGCGCCTTTGCAGACTTTGTTCGTTTTTTTCCAATCTCAAAAAATCCTGATCTAACTTTAGAATTTGATTATTTAATGAAAAAGATGAAAAGCAAAAAAAGCAAAAAGATTTCTCTCCGGCCGGGAATTGAACCCGGGTCTCGCCTGCGACAGACGCGGATACTCACCACTATACTACCGAAGACACGGAGGTGGCAGCAGCCGCCGCGAGGCATAATCCTTGGCACCCCATCTCATATGATAAGGATATACGATAAAATTTTTTTTTTCTTGCTTCTCTAAATTCCTTTCAAAAACCTGCAAATTTTCAGTCATCCTACCAATTCTCGATGGTTATTGTCTGTACGGTCGGAGCGACGCTTTCCTGGATTCTTCCCACGATCAAATTCATTTCCAACGATTTATTATTCTTGGTTTCCGTACGTTTTATTAAAAAATAAAGGTGAACGTAATGAATTACAGGTCTGCTTAATGTTTTCCTGTGTCGGTGGAACATTTTCTCTCTTTCCATACGTCACTCATAAACTGTTCGGGAAGACCAACTTTTCGGTCATCTACGGCTTTTTGCAGTGCTCACTGGTACGGTTGAACTTTTTTTTCAATTAAAAATTGTGTCAGGAAGGGAGTGAAGCTATTTTTCAGTATAAATCCAGAGGCAAACTTCGTGTTTAACGCCAAAAAATGAAGCAATTTTTTGTTTTCTCTGTCGCGCGTTTCAGAACCGGAAGAATGGAAAGATAATCCAGTTCCATTTCATGGAACCACGTGAAAAAGTAAATTCAACAAGAATATTTCTGAAAATTTAATGTTCTTGATTAAAAATATGCATTTCAGTCGGTCGCAGGCGTTTTCGCTGGATTCCTCTCACAATTTCTACTTCCCGTCGTCGGATTCGAAACTTTTTTCCTTATTATCGGCAGCTTTATGGCCATTTCTCTCGTTTTGACAGTCATTTTACAATTTACCGACTTGGCAAGGATCCAGAGGGACCGAAGCAGTACCACTCATACCATAGAAGAATTTGAACCTTAAAATGTGCTCAAAACTCCGTTGATCTCTCGATCTCAAAAGAAATAGTCACCTCATTGTTGCTGGTTTTTTGTTGTGATGAAGTTTTTTTTATTCTGTTTGTGCAAAAAAAAAAATAAAGCCTAGGAAATTCTATAGCTTTAGGCTTTCTGCCGAAAAAATGAAACAAAACCGAAGAAGCAAAAATATTTCTCTCCGGCCGGGAATTGAACCCGGGTCTCGCATGTGACAGACGCGGATACTCACCACTATACTACCGAAGATTCCGGCGGCAAGAGCCTTCGGCGTGCTCTATAATCTTTCGAAGCGTTTACACTGAAGTTGGCATGTCGATGATAAAGATATACGTGTACTTTTTAAAAAGCAAAAATAAGCGTGTAACTGTGAGAATCGACCTTTAAGAAAAGGTATTTCGAACAAATTAAGGGAAATGTGGATGTTGATCGTCATTCATGTTGCTTTTCCCTTTCTACTAACTCATTATTTGATATGTTGCTCCAAAAAAAGCAAGAAGGCAAGTTTCTTGTCTTAAAGTTTGGAATCTTAACAAAATAATTTATTCAATTCAAAAAAGAAAGATCAAAAGCTGTGATGAATGTCTCCAAGACTTTCTGGAAGGTTTACAGAAAATTTTCGCAGTTTTAAATTTCTAGAAGTTGTGTAGTCGTTCACCGTCGGTTTCAGGCTTCATTTTCATAGGTGATCTGAAAAGATAAGAAGAAAAAAAAAACTAAAAAAAAGGTTCAAATGCCCCAATAGAGATTTTCATCCCAAGCTAGCGGTAAATGAAGTAGAATATGTAGACTCGAATGGATTTTTGCCTTATGACTCCGGCACAGGAACTTCCGGATGTGCCGTCGTCGAAACATTTGAAACAGCCGCCGTCGCCGGACGCGAAACCGTCGCCGCGGAAGGACGTACCACCAACTCCCGTTTTTGTCCCGCAGAAAGATCTCCCCATCCCTTCTTTAGCCTCTGTACCGTCTACTGGCTCTGTCGGTTCTGTCCCTCCTACCTTGCCGGCAGTTTCCAAGGTCTCACTTCAATGAGGGGTCTTTTCCAGTCATTTTTCCAGCAATCAGCAGAATCTGTGGCGAAAATGCCAAAGACGGTGAAGTCGGCGGAACAAGTGAATCAGTTGAAGTCGAGGTCTGGAAGGAAACAGAGTCGAAGTACGGGGCCTGGAAAAGACCAGCCGTTCGCCTGGGATATCAATGTGCCGGCTCCAGAGGAGGCGCAAGGGGTCAGAATTTCAGTGTTTTAGAAGAAAAAAAAAAGGATTTTCAGACCGACTTGGGTTCCGACGACGACGGCGACAATCCGCTGGCCAACGAGAACCTGCAGAAGAAACTTTTAACAGGTTGGAAAATGGAGAACTTGAGAAAATCATCATCCTTTTACCACACAACGTCTTGAAACCTTTTGTTTGAACGGGGAACTGTTGAGAGACGTAGCAGTTTTTGCTAGGCGCATCCGACTTGAAACTGTTTTCGCGCGAAGGCATCAAGCCCAACATAATGTCATTTCCGGCTCGAACCAGATTTTAACCGCGAGGCTTTCGGCCATTCTACGTGCGACCATAGTTTTTTCGAAGGCATATTGTAACCGCTAACAAATAGTTGTAAGAAAGGCCCTTTCCTTCAAAAGTTTTTTTAGGTATTCATTTTTCTGAAACAGAAAAGTCTTTTCCAGATATGGCTTGCGGTACCCTCGCAAATAAGATCAGGGCGAAGCCATCAACAACCGGGGATAAAAAGGTACCAAATTATCGGAAAACTACAGGATTTCCTCATTTATAGGAGGATGAGAAGGCCAAAAAGTGCAATCCGTCATTATATCTGTGCTAAAAAACGGCAGCCTTTCCACTACGTGAAAATAATATTCATTTCATTTTTTGGGTGTAATAGTTTCAAGTTGATGAAAAAGATGATGGGGTAAGCTTGAAAGGGGGTGGATTTACGCTGATTTTTCGTTCACAGGCTCTTTGAAATTCGAGAAACTTATTCGAGACACGTTTCAAATCCTGATTTCGTGAAAAATAATCAATGAAGAAGAAATTTTTTTTGAATCTCTCGAAAATCTTAAGCGGAAGCGAAGCCTGAGAAGTGGAGGCATTGGATATGAAAAATTCAAAAAATTTAGAAAAAAACCGACAAGAAAAAAATATGTATATCTTAGAAGTGGTGTTATAGAAGAAATTTACCAATGAAAAGTTTTTTTATCTTATATTGGAGAAATGAAGTTTCTTTCGTAATCAGTAGTTCATGAATGAGGAAATCCCGTAGTTTTTCCCATTAGAATAATTTCAATTCAGTGAAAATAATTTCTAGCAACCAAAAAGCGAAGAACAGCCGACGACGCCCGGAAAACCCAAGCCACGGGGAAATTCGGCCTTACTTCCCCCTACAAATACCTCATGAATTCCGAAGCTTCCGTCAAGTTTTCCAAAGCTTGGATCGATTTTTATCTTTCTAGGCTTTTTCAGGTCATCAGCAACAATTGTCCTGCCTACACAATTTTTTTCATTTTTTTGAATAAATGTACCGTAATCCGTCCTATTTGTTGGGAAACTGAACAGATCGTAACTTTTTTTTTAGGTTAAATAAAAGATTTGAAACGAAGATGGAAAAAATTATTTCTAGAAAGGTTCCCAAGTAGTCGAGATACCAGCCCCTGAGAAGTTTTCCAAATTGTCCTCTTTTCTTCATTCGCTCCAACATTTGGAAAAAAAACCGCTCCAAAAATTACAAAAAACCCGCATCGGACTCGAACTTGCCACCTTACGATCGTCGGTTATAAGCTTTAGCCACTGAGCTACTTTCCGCAGATGGTTCAACCGCCTGCTTCTCGCTGACAGCCCAAATAAGGTGGCTCAATTTTGAAAGCGCCCCGACTTCTCTGCGTCTCCGTGCTCCTTCGTCGCGACATCTGCTCTCGACGGCTTCATCGATCCAAATACGGGCATTTTCCAACCTACTCGACCCGAATTAACCTCCATTTATTGCTATTTTATGGAGAATGCGGCGAACGGAATTCTTTTTTCGACTTCAACTGGTCATTCGGAGATCGATGAGCTCAACAGAATCCTTACGGTTTGTTTTATTTTCATTTCTATTTTATTTATCTTTTTATTTCAGGTAGAAAGAGAATTGGTACTAAAGACGCAGGAAAATTATCGAAGCTTGAAGGGCAAATATTTAGAATTATCAGAGGAGAACGAGCTTTTAAAAAAAGAGCTGGCAATTGTGAGTATTTTTCCAATGCAAAGAAAAAAATTAAGAAAAAAATAATTTTAGCTAGAAATTTTTTTTTGTATAAATGTCTGCAGTCATTTTCTACACGACCAGTCAAATATAAAACTATAAAAAAAATTTAACCGATTTCATCGTTCTAACAAGAAATAAAACATTTAAAAAATAAAAATAAAATCTAAAGTTATTTATTCATTTGTCCTGTGTAGGATTGCGTCACCGTGCAGCTTTGTCAAATTTAAGAAAGTTTCAAAATAAAAAATTTAAATTCAACCATTTTTATTGTTTTTCGTTGATCTTATGCTTCTCGAACAGGTTCAATTTATTTTTTTTTACTGATTGAAAATATTTTCGAAGGGTTCTAATGAAGAGAAATATTGAAAAAAAAACCTCTTTGGACTTCTTTGTAGATTTGTTTCTTGTCGCGTTCAGGTTTCTTTTTTAATGGCCTGTAACAGTTTTAGTTGAGACAAGACTACAGCGAACAAGGAAGTTTCAAGGAGAATTTCGTTTCATTGGAAGCCAAAAGTCGGCATCTCATCAAGCAAATGGCGGCCGACAATGAAGCTCGCGAGGTTTTTTTGAAAAATTGTACCTGTCGTGGATTTTTTCTGTAATTTTACATCAATAGATTGAAAAAAAAATTTTATTTCAAAAAAAATCTTCTTCAATAAACGTTTCTTTTCTAGATGAGGTACGAGAAGTTCAGGACGGACACGCTTTCCGAGCTGCAGAAGGTTTTCCGCAAGGTTTGAATATGTTCTCTCTCCATTGGTTTCATAGAACGTAGAGGAAAGGTACGTGTCAGCTGGGGTTGGGAATGCGGTCGGCCTTCTTCTCGAAGTTGTATCTGAAAGAATTCATGTATAGGGTTAAAGTTCGTGAACAAACTTGGTTCCGGCTGTGAAGTCGACAGGGATGAGGTAGACCTGTTTTTTCGTGACAGCGTTGAGTCTGTAGTCTTCTGTGAATCGCCATGTAGATTCCATATTTTCAATAAGCACAAAGGGACTCGTGAAGGTCGTTAACGAAAGTTCGATGGCTCCTTGCGCTTGAAGTTCCTGTATTTGACGTTCGACTTCATCTCGTTTCACTAGTGGTATTCTGTGGATCCTAGGCCTTGGAAGGGCAGGTCGTCTCGAATGTCGATTAGATTTTGATCCTGGGAACATCCCAATGTTCACGTCGTCGTTTAAGAACCCGCTGGGATTATCAAGGATGTCTTCTCTCAGTTCTTTTTGTTCAGCATTGTCGATAGCACAGCGTTGAAGGTTTAGTTTCTTGAGCAGCTTCGTATAGGTGTTTTTAGAAACGTAAGTGATTCTGACGGTCATGTTCCCTGGACTTGTGATGGTGTCCATAAAGGTGATGTCGCCGTTGTCTGGAGGGCGCAAGAGCAGAAGCTGGTCCTTGTTCCTTGAGTTCTCATGTGAACTCTGCGAGTGGTGTTTGCCGGTATCACTACGCTTGCTGCGCCGGTGACGTTGATTTTCTTTAAAGCGTGAGCAAAGGGTGACTCGCCCGTTGAAGTAGGCGAAATGTGCTGTTCCCGACTTCTAGCGTTCCTTTGCTTTAGTGGAGAACTGTAGTTACTCCTTGCTCATCGAGAGCTGTCATTACGTCGTATCCAATGAGTACTGTGGCAGGAAATATCTCTTTATCGGAGACAAGGAATGTGTGCTGAATTGTATGTTTCCCAATGGAGGTTGACCTTCCCTAAGAAGCTGTACTTGAAGCCCTTTGCTGATCGAGCGCTCCGGAGGGAAGTCTTTTCCATGTTGCTGTCGGTGTAGTCAAGCAGCCTGGGCTCAGCTGTCCATATTCTCGAATTCCAACGCTCATAGTGCACACAGAGAACTGTTATGCTCACTGCTGTCACAGTATCTGCGTCGTAGGCGAGTGTTGCAGGCTCCTCGATGTCTCCTTAGACAAGTGGTGCAAGCGTCCTGGCGGAGCAGATTTGTCTATCGATCTACGGCTTATCGACGCAACATAAGTCGCTGAAGTGAGGTTGTCGACAGAATACGCAGTCGAGGCATCTCGGACGATTCTTCGCATTTGAAATCCTTTGTACGCTTTGTTGTTCGGCGTTGGTGAAAGGTTACCGGCGACCGTTGGAGTCTGCTCGACGCTTTGGAAGGTGCTGGAGAGAGGTTCCTCGACTGCGTTGGTGAAGTGTTGGGTGAGTGTTCGCTCCCCGGCTGGACCGAATATCCGTGGGGCGATGGTGATCTTCGGGGCGGCGGCGACCGCTTTGGTGAATGTGGAGGTGGTGGAGGGTTTTCACGCAGTTTGATTTGCAGCAGTAGGAATCGTAGAGCTCCTGGCGTTTCATGAGATCCATGATGGGTTTCTACACCACTTGGATCATTTCGACGACGTCTTCAGGAGAGTCGACGCAGTCGAGGTTGGACATTTTGGGCTGGGAGACCTGGTTGGGAGAGAGGATGCCTTCGATGGTGCAGGGGCGATCATATCTGTAGGAGCCGTCGACCCATCTTTGGTCGTGTTTGATAGCGCGCACCGCGGGGAGCCGTTGATATATCTTGTTCTTCGCCGGATGGCGCACTCCGCGGGGAGCCGTCGGTTTGCGTTGGTCGATGTTTGATAGCGCTCATAGGATATCAGGAAATCTTTCCGCTCAAGGGCGCGGTTCCATTGTAAAAAATAATTATTCCATTTATCGAACAGTTGAGGCTGTACAGTGGAATAAAAGTTCAGCATTTTTCACTACACTACGCACTAAAAGCACTCTGAGCCATTCCAAGCGCTACCAGAAACTTTCAAAAACTTCCTTTCAGGAAATAGCCGACCAAAACTCTCAAATCGAGCATCTAAACGCTGAGAAAGACGAACTTATCAATGAAAACGATCAACTTTTGGAACAGGTTTCTTCAATATTTTTTCTCGAATTTTTATATATTTAGTTAAAACAACTGCGAATGGACGTTTCGGACCTTAAAAGGAAGGAAAAGTCCAGAGAAGAAGCGATTCGGATGGATTATGATGGGAAGCTCCAAGAGATTCTCGAAAAGGAGGAGAAGAGTAAAGAGTGAGTTCGAATGATTAATTAAAAATATTATTGAAACCAAAAAATCAAAAAAAAACACAGATCCAGGACAGCCGCGAATCATGGAGACCTCGCGGCGATGAGAGACGAAATGTCGCGACTGGAGGAGCGACTTCTCACAGCGAATCGCGACAAAACCGCCGCGATCGTTGAGAGAAACGCCAAGATTGACGCCGCCGCAATCGCGAACGTTGAGCTGCGACAGCAGGTCGCTGAGCTCAACGCGAAACTTGACGCGTTTGTCAGAGGATTTGAGAAATCCTGAAAAAAGTATTTTCAGAGTGAATGGTGAATTGTCGATTTTTAAGTCACACGAAAGTCAAAAGGAAGCTGAAGTTACTGAGCTTCATCGGTGAGTCATACGAAAATAATTGAATAAGTTGTGGATTTGTGTTCAAAAATGCTAGGATTAAGCGTTGGGCCATTCTAAATGCGACCAGATTTGCTACAGAGAATTTTTTTTCAACTCAGAGAATGAAATTTTAAGTTTTTTAGAGCTTCAATTGAATAAAACTATGAGAAATGACGTCACTGTAAAGCTTTCAAGTGACGTATTTTTTGAGAAAACTCTTTCCAAAATAAAAAAAAAATCAAATTTTGCTTATTTTTGTAAACGGAAGCTTAAATTAGGAACGCCAGAGTGGTCCCTATAGTGGCGATCCCAAGGACCATTTAAGGTTTTCCTCTAGGGGCCACTAAAGATTTAAAAAGTACATTATGAAGACATTTTAGATTAAATCTTTAAAATTAACGATTTTCCAGGAAGATTTCTTCCCTGATGACGGAGAAAATCGATTTGGAGGCTGACCACCGAAGAAAAGAGCGGTCTTGGGAAGTGCGAATGGGCCAAGTCGAAGAAAATTTCTCGAAAAAGTTGCTCGATTTTGAAATGGCTTTCTCCAGAAAGGAAGAAATTATAAATGGTATTCGTGAATTTCCAGCTTTTTCTTGATTTTTTCGTTTTTTACAGATTTGAGAAATAAATTGGAAGAACTGGGAAGTCTGAAAGAAGCCCTCGAGAACTCATATAGAAATGCGTCCGTTGAAAAAAAGAGACGAGGGTTCGGCTGGAACTTGAAGTCAAGGTTTGGGGAGTTCTAAAAAAATTAATATAATAAATATTTTAGAAACTTTATCAGAAGATCGAGAAGCTGAATGAAGAAAAGGAGGCTCAGATTTCCAATATAAAGATGGAAAGAGATCGTTTGGAATGCTCGGTCGCCGAGTTGAAGTCAGTTGATTTTTGAATATTTTTGTTCGCATTTGGAATGGCTCTGAGCATTGCGGTCGCGCTGCGGCTCAGGCTGAAGTCTTTGTTAGTGAATGAAGACTTGAAAATCTATACGTGAATTGTTTTTGATCAAATACAAACATCTGGATGAAATGAGAAAAAAATCTCCGGCACTTAAAGCCGCGCGAAAGTCGTTTTCTGGTCGGATTCAAGTTTTTCGTAACCATTGAACCATTCTAAATGCTGCAAACTTAGTTCAAGTCGAGATGAGTCTTTCGAATTTTATTTTTTAATTTTTTTCAGAAAGAAGTTAGAAGTTACCCCAGAAACCGTGGCTGAAGCTCAAAAGCTTCGAAATCAACTCCAAAACTCGGTTTTTTTTCCGTTTTAAAAATGTGATAATTTCTAAGGTTCAGGAAAAGAGACAAAGAGAAGCCAAGGAGAAATATCATTCGGCACTCGGCGAAATGCAGGCCGCACTGAGAATGGTTGAGAAACAGCAAAAGAACACTCAAATCAAGATCCAACAGTCCATTTTGTCGAACAGGTCTTTTTCTTGAGTTTAAGTTGTAATAGTCCATTCATCGGTGCTTCTGAACGAGAAATAGTGTAAAGTGTAGACGTCTAGTTCTCTCATTTTTCCACACTCCTTCTGGTGTCATTTATAGTTTAATTGAGCATAATTTTGAGCAAGTAGGGAGTGAATTTCAAGCTGAAAAAGGTGTAAAAATGTCTTGTTTAGAAAACGCTTGTTTGTTTATTGAATATTGAACGACTTTTAGGGAAAAGTTACATTTTTTGACCATTTTCCTATGTATTTTGTAAATTTCTTGTAAATTTTTTTTTTTGAAAGTATCAGGTACTGAATCACGGGTGTTGACGTTCGCACTTCTTTGTTTTGTATTAAATAATAAAACAATTTTCTTCATAGTTCCAACCTTCACCGCCTTTTTTCAAGCTAACTTGATAATTTGGTTCACTCAAGGCCAAAAAGATTGCTTCTTATCACAATTGGTATACTGATAAACACGTTTGTATAGACTGATAAAAGACTGACAGTGATCTTGACACGAAAACGAGGAAAAAAATAATGATCAAAATTGGAGGAAATTCAAGTTTTGAGATCGAAATAGTTTTTGGAAGTGAACATACTTACTTACTTAGATACTTAGATGGTCCATCTTCGCTTTCGACCTTTTATTGCCTTTTAGTGCCTTTTATTGATCGAAGCGTGGACCACACGTTTTCCAGGAGATCTTATGCAATCGGTCATCCAGTGTTGTCGTCCTGGTTGACTGGTATTCTTGCGAAAAAAATCCATCCGTGGTGTTGAACGTGTTATAGCATAATTGTGGTCTTATTATCCTTTTTGCCTTGCCAGGGCTAAAAAAGACCGCCCATTCTGTTAGCAGAAGCAAGCCGAACTGCGTGACCGGTGTACCGTTAGCCGCCATAAATGGCGTTGCCTCCCCATCACCGCGTAGAGGTGGTACTTGAAGGGGAGTGTGAACATAGTACGAGAAAAATCGAACAAAAGACGGTGAGAACGAGAATTTTCCATACTCGGACTTTAAAAAAAAAAAGGTTTTTGTCAATCTTTTCGAACTTCTCAAGTACTTGTTGTACTCCGTTTTTTTTATGAACTTGAAACGGTTTTTTCTCTGCGCCCTCCTCGTCTCTCGGCAACCCTCTCATGTTAACGTGCTGTTTTTATGTTTCTCTGGCCTCGCCGGCGAGGGAAACGAGAGACGCAGACGCTTCAAAACTGTCAAGTTGCTGCCAACCGACGGTAACATTTAATTAAAATTTTAAACTACCAAAAATAAAGCTGTGAAAAAATCGATAAACTGAATCACTTTACATTTACGAACTAATTTTTAAGGGGTAAATCGAAAAAAATTGATCGTTTTAATATGTTTTTTTCGCGGGAAAAACTTTTTTTCAATGAAGAAATATTTTACAACTTTCAAAAAATGATCTGCAAAAGTCAAGTTCTTTTTCATTTCAAGGGCTCAGTGAAGCGGTGACATAGGAAACCTAACGATTGTGCTGATGGGAGGAACCAATATTTTTCGAGTTGAAGCTAGTAAGTTTTTTGAAAACGTCAATAAAATGAAAAAAAAAGTCGTGTTTTCAAAAATCGAACCCAATCGGCGCAAAGCGAACGAATCTCTGACAGAGCTTTGATCTTTTCATCGAAAATTCTGTTCAACCCCATTGTTTTTTCTCCGAGTTCACTGCCAAAAATTGACAGTGATGTGCGGTCGTCAGCATCCTACACGCAGAAAGAGACGTTGCCAAGAAAACCACAAAGATCACTGTCAAAAAGTGGCCAGAGTGTACCTGCGCCGAGTATAAATACACCTTTTCTCTCCCCTGGAAACTCCACGTTTTCTCTCCCCTTTGTTTGTTTTGCCTGCAATTTTTAGTTTTTAGTTTGTTGGAGGCCGTGTTTTTTGAAGATCGTAAGGATTTTTTGGGCAATTTTCTTTGTTTTTTTTAAATTGAAACGAGTTTTTTGAACATTTTTCCATCGGAAAAAACCTAAAGTTTTGATGCTCTATTTTCCATCATTTTTTTCCAAGAGAACCTTGAGAATTTACTACTTATTTTCATTTCTTTTTTTCTGATTTTTTTGTTAAATTTACATGCTGCAAACTTTTTTTGTGTCCAAAAAAAGTCAATTTCCCTATTTTAAAGAATTTTTCACCACTTTTTACTTGAAAACTGGAGCTCTAGCTTCAATTTTATCTTTTTTTTCTTCATCGTTTTTTTTAAATCCCCTTTTTTGTTCCATCTTCACTTCAACTCTCTTTGTCTCTGAAAAATCAATGAAAATCACGATATCGATAATGTTTCGCTTTTCTGTTTTCTCCTCAAGAGGTGTCATTGAAACTGTATAACCTCATTTTTCAGACCAAAATGACCAAAACCGAAGGTTTCGGAAGGCTTTTCCAGAACTTTGAGAACGTCATCGCTCCAAAGGAGTGCAAAATGACTGGTTTATTCTTGATTAAGGCCAAAGTTTGGGAAATCTCAATATTTTAGGAACGGTTCCCAAATATTTGAAGGGGACGATGGTCCGAAACGGGCCGGGAATGTTTGAAATCGGAGATTCCAAGTATAACCACTGGTTCGACGGTATGGCCTACATCCAGCGCTACCATTTTCAAGATGGAAAAGTAACAAAAGCTTTGGGAAAATTGGAAAGAAAGAATAATTTCAGATGTTCTACTCGGCTCGCTATCTGGAATCGGAAGACTATTTGGAGAACATGAAAAAGCAGAGAATCGTGAGAAGTGGATTCGCCACCACTGGCTTTCCGGATCCGTGCAAGACCGTTTACCAGAGGTTGGATATTCCTTGTTTTTTCTTTGATTTATTAGTCCGGTCCTGGCCTATATGTTCATTTCTTCCTTCTGATCTATCTGCACCCTCTTTTCCCTCTTCAGTGGGAGAGAGAAAGGTGGGAGGAAAGAGAGCGCAGACAGGTCAGACGCCTTGAAAAAGTCGTGGTGCCTCCATAGAGCTCATTTTCCTCGCCACATTTAGAATGGCTTAACTCAAAAAACTTTGACTTTTCTGACATGTAAGTTTGTTTTGGTAAGGCCCAAATTCATAGTAAACGAAATTTGCAGGAACTCGAATCATTCTTCTTGCGACCAACTTGTTCCAAATTCGTTGCGGTTGCAAATTAGATAAAAATGTTCAAGGTACCAACCTTTAGATATATTTCCCCGAGTAGGAGAGGTTTCGAAGTCTAGAAAAAACACCAAATAATCATCATTACCCTTTATAGACTCAAAATTAAAAGAAGAATCTGTTCTTCAGATTCTTCTCCCATTTCTTCGGTGAGGACCCGAAACACGACAATGCAAACGTCTCGTTTGCCGAAGTTGGCGATGGCGTCTACGCCGTCACTGAAACGCCGCAGATGATCCGAATCGACCTGGACACGCTCAAGCCAGCCGGCACGGTCAGTTTCTTTCTCAGAATGAATAGGAAAATAATACTGCGCCATCAATCTGTGTGAAGAATCTAACAAAACATTTAGAGGTTGTCTGAAGAAAATTTCAGGAAACCTTCAAAAGATATAACTATTAAAGAAGTTGCAGGCCGACATGACCGACTACATCGCCTTGAACACCTGTACCGCCCACCAACTTCTCGACGACGCTGGGAACGTCTTCAACGTCGGCAGCAAGTTCGGAAAAGATGCCTTCTATGTCTTCGCCATCACGAAGAACCCATTGGACGTCAAAGGTCAGCATGATTTTATTCGAAAAATGGGGAAATCATCTTTTTTAATCTAAAAAGTGTGTCCATCCCAACCATCCCAAGATTCGAAGATCGGAAAAAAACTCTTAGCCGCTGAGCTACACGTCCTTTTAAATATGTTAGCCATTTCAGGAGCCCAGAGCGGCCATTCGATAGAAGACACGAAAATCGTCGGCACCGTTCCGTGCTCAGAAACCTTCCATCCATCCTACTATCACTCCTTCGGCATGTCCCAGAACTACTTGCTTCTTTTCGAGTCGCCTGTCAGACTGGATATCAAGAAAATCTTGATGAGGTTTGTAAAGCTTGGAAAAAAAGAAATTCTTTTAGTTTGACCTTCTTGATATTTAGAAAATTTGGAAAAAGGAAAAATAGAAAATTATCGAAATGATCTCGATATTTCCAGAAAGTTCACCTTCGTCTCTTACGGAGAATGCCTCTACTGGAAGAAAAACGTCGACGTCAAGGTTTTGATCGTCGACAAGAGAACTGGAAAGCAAAAGTCAATCAAGGTGATTCCACCTGAAATAATGTAATATTAGGGAGATTTTCAGTACACGGCCAACCCGTTCTTCACTTTCCACCATGCCAATTCCTTCGAAAAAGACGGTTGCCTCGTCGTCGACTACTGTCGCATGGAGAACGCCGGCAATTTCGAGACCCTCCTCATGGAAAACATGAAAGACGGAACCTTCCAGAAGGTTGTTTCTTGTAAAAAAAATGCCTTAAATGGCCCTTAAAACATGAGATTAGAGGAGTAAATTCCATCTTGAAACGTTTTTCCTTGTTTTACAAATGGACCTCCTGAAAAACTAGAGAAGTTATAAAAAAGTGTAAAGAGATCAATTTAAAGTGGAACGGAACGAAAAATCGAATTCCCGCCAAAAGCGTACTTTGTAAAAAAGTTGCTCTAGGGGCGAAACGTATTTTATTAGGTTTCTTTTCGGAACTCGGTAACACAAACCGGGCACGCCCGGGACGTTTCTGAACAATCCTAGGGATCTCTTAAGAGTGCTGATGTCATTGAAGTGGCCACTAGAAAGCTGAGAAACATATAGATGTTTTTTTTTTCTCTGCGGCTTAACCACGGATACATTTTTTCAATGGGACAAGAATTTTTTTTTTGATATCCTTAGGATGGCAAAACTCGTATCGTTGGCCCAAAACTTCTAATCTTCTTATTTCAAGAATCCCAACTTCCTGCCCTACCTCACCCGGATGATCATCCCGTTGGAAATCCCAAGTGATGCAAAAACCGGAGACGATCTTCTGGCCGGACTGGCCTGGGCCAAAGGCTGCAAAGCTGAATTGAGGAAAAACGGCTCCGTCCATCTGACTGAGAAGCGGCTCTGCGAACACAGTTACTCCTAACAACCGTTTTATTTTCAAAAAGAAAAATTTCAGCCATGGAATTCCCTCGATACCACTCCGAGAAGATCAATATGAGAGAGTACCGATATTGCTATGGGAGCAGTGTTCTTGGGAAGGCGGCTGATAATGATCTCGAAGGGGTGAGAACTAGAAAAAAATAAATAGGCATTTGTTAAAAAAAGCAATTTTCGTCGATTATTGTGCTCGGTACGCAAACAGCGGAATTGACGCGAATTCTTTTTTTGATAAGTTTTTAAGGTTAAAAAGTATGTTGAATAAATGGTATATTTAAATATTAAGAAGAATAAATTCCTAAATAAAATATAGATAAAAAAACTTCACAAAAAAATGTTTGAAAGGAATTTTTTTAAATTTTTTTAAACTTTTTTTCTCAAAGTTTCTATCGTCCAGCCGGGTGTTTGCGTACCTGACGCCAAAATTGACGATGTCCTCGATTAAAATAATACATCTCAGTCTTTAAAAAAGTTTTTTTCATTAAAAGATTGCAGGTGATCAAGGTGGACGTCCAGGGTGGAAAGCCAAAAGTTTGGAAACGCGAAAATCAATTCCAAGTCTGTGCCGAGCCGATTTTCGTTCCTGATCCGAATGGAGTCGAGGAAGACGATGGTTTGAAGACTTTCGAATCTTGAAAAATAGGAATTTTCGTTCAGGAATCCTCCTTGTGCCCATAATGACTTTGAGAGATGGCGAGAATCCATTCGTCGTCATTTTGAATGCCCACGACTTGAAAGAAATTGCGAGATATACGATCCCAGAAGCCAGGATACCTTTAGGATTCCACGCTTTGTACAAAAAACGTTTCGGATAAACTTATTATTTTTTTCAATTTGCCACAACTTGAATCTTCCTGGCCGCATTTGGAATGGCTGTAGGCGTTGCGGTTCAAATTTCAGTCCATTTAAGGCCAACCGCTTTGCGTCGAGCCATTCCACGTGCCACCATTATTTTTCAAGTTGAAGGCTATTATGTATACATGTGTATTTTTAAAAGCTTTAATCAAACTACTAAAATGATGTAAAAATCTTCATATCTGATGCATAAAGTCACCCGTTTCAAGTAAAACCGTGGAAAAATACAAAGAAAATTATACAATCGCAGAAAAATCACAACATAGGCAATAAGCAATTTGTTCGAAGTGAAATCGTCAAAACCAAACTTTAAAAAATCATCAGCTTTGAGTTGAATTTGAGAAAATGAAGGTCATTGAAGATGGAAAGCTTGAGTTTTGAATTTTTCTATTTTTCTGGAATCCCAGGCGTCGTTCTTTGATTTTACGTACGGAAAATGGTTTCCCGAACAGAAATTCTTGGGAATTGAGTCTTTACCTAACAGTTTGCAAGAAAATGTGCACTATGGCCCTAAATTAATTTACGGACTTCAAATGCTCAAGCTTTTCCTTCTGATAGGAAAATTAGCTCTGACGATGAAAAAGTGGAAAAAAAAACTTCAGAAGAAAGTGACAAGAATTGGCGAAGCTGAACCGTAAACAGTCATGGAAGGCAAGAGAAAATGTACATAGGATATTGTTCTTACGAAGAACACGCTTTTCTGGTTAAACCATAGTGGGCGGCGGGACTTTTGCGATTTCCTTGGCGAGTTTGCGTCGGTGATGTTGATTCCGGAGCCAGGATTCCACACGGATGAGCATGTGGCCGAAGGTTTGGCGATATCGCGAGCTCATGAAGCAGTACAGCACAAAATCCACGCTGGAAAGATGGAATTTTCATAAAGGAAGGAAAGTTTGACTTTTAAAATTCTCCATGTTTTTGGTTTTTATTTTTCAGATCATATATTCAGATCTATTCCAGAGAGGAAGTTGAATCATAAGCTCGAAAAAAATAATATTTTCAGGGGGAGATTTTCTTGTTATGTCAAATTTTTTTAGAGAAGTATTTCGAGTTTCACTTTGGTAGACTCCTAATTTTTTCTATTCGAAATAAACAGGTCTAATACAGTCTAAAGACCAGTTTATTTTGAATAATAAAAATATTTTCCAAACTCCTACACTTTTCCACTTTTCATGAGACTTTAATTCTATCCTCATTCCACTTTCTTGAAAGTACAAAACCAACCTGCAGTTGATCAACGACAGGAAATCCAACAATTCTCCGACATTCCGATAAATGTGCGTGTTGATATCAGTAGTGTACAGTCCTGAAATCCTTCCGTAACTTCCAGAAAGCTAAAAGGAAAACGGACCATTCAGAAGGGCCAGAACTCCTTGAGGCAATTCCGTTATCAGGAACACGACGAGCATGATGATCAACATGTAAGTGGTCCTGTCAGGAACCGTCGTTTTCTTGATGTGCTTCCGGAAACTCTTAGAGTAGAGATAATTCCGCTTCTCGTCGGTCTGCCGCAGTTTCAAAACCAAGGCGATCGTGAACCAAAGAAGAAGCCCGCAAGGAATCGCCTGGATAATTGATTTTTCGATATGTTTTTAAAACAATTATTACCTTCAAACAATGGCCAACATCCAGAGGTTGAACTTGAAGAAGGCGCACGAATAGGTGGAGAAGTTTAGACTGTAGAAAGGCTCAGGTTGTGGACTGAGTCCTTGTCCCGATAACCGCATAACTTCGGACACTGTTGACGTTTCGACGACTGAAAAAGGAGTAATTTTATCTCAATTCAGATACAATTTTTTTTAAAAAATTGATTGGGACAGAAAATTGTTTTCCTTGTTGTTGCGAGAAGGTCCCCAGTGTTGAATCGTCAGAAAAAAAAAAATTGGGAATTGAAATAGATTAATAGTCCTAGCAGGAAGTATTTCACTCTGTTTGATTTCAAGGCATCCTTTTCATGAAATTTGTACTTTTCAGCGTTCTTTGAATGAATGACAGCTAGAAAACTGACTTAAGTCATAAAAAACAGTTAAATTTTCTTTTTGCGCGTCATTTTTCATGCATCGCGTGCACCGCGTACAAAACATTTTATCTCACGCCGCTACCGTAGACGTGACAAGTTCAGTTTTTGAACTTCGGATTGCAATTTTTACTGAAAAGGTTCAAAATTTTGAAAAAATACGGATTCAGAATGTAGACTTGGAAAGACTTGAATCGTATGAAGCAAAAAAAATAATAAAAGCGTGGACAAAATCCATCGTTGCCTATCTGAATTTAGGCTTTTTTTTCAGTTTTCTCTATCTTCCCCGTTATTTTGACCTTTCGAATTCAATTTCCTCTAATTTCTAAGATGCACAGGGATAATCTCGAGTAAAAACCAACCATCTGGGCTCAACTGATAGATTTCGTGAAGAAAAAGGGTTGGCAGGCAAACGACGGCAATCACGGCGGTGACGAAGATGAAAAGCCTCCTGGAAATTTTTTTTTTTTTGTTTCATTTTTTATGCCCCCACAACTTTCTGTATAAATTAGCCAGTGCATGAACGTCATTTTGCAACTTTTTTTTCCACGTCAAGATAGAATGAGGAGAAGCCAGAAACGGATACAAACTACAGAGTTTTCGTTCAGGACATGTGCATTTGTTGCAGCTGCATGATTCGAAGACCAAAAGTACACCGAAACCGTGTTTGAGGTCAAAAAACTCGTTTTGAGAAATGAGAAATTTTTATTTGGGAAATAAAACCGTAATCTTGAGAAACACAATTGCGCTCCACTGAGAAAAAAATCTTCTCATGAAAAACTTAGTTATGATGAAATTTTTCCGAGATCATAGCTTAAATATTGAGTCAATTTTTTTTATTTCGATATTTTGTAGGAATATCCCGTTTTTCGATTAGTTTTTTTTTGTTCTCAACCTTTTAGCCACTTTTTTTTACCTCTCATACATCGAAAATTCAAAAAAAAGTAGCCGAAAGCCGAATTTCGAAAGATGGGCAGCCAACCGTTAAACTTCAAGCTTTCCAATTTTTTTTCTAGTCCTGAGAATGAGTCAAAAGTTGTTGGACCGCAAAGTCTAGTCTTTATTTGGATTAAAAGAAACATTGGGCTCAATGGGAGCAACATTTTGCTTTTCTTTTTGTTTCTAGTGAAGCTCGTGACTGAGGAAGCAGAATGAATTTTGCAAAAAAAAAGAGAAAAAAAAAGACAAAATTGTAAGTTTCTGCAAATGCTTCAAAACTGCTTCCTTTCTTCGAGCAAACATTTTTAATTAAATAAAAAAAAATTCTCAAAAAAAAGTAGAATATTTTCGGAAACATACAGACAATCCTTCAAGTTGTAATCGATTTTTTTTTTATTTCGAAGTTTGTTTCTTGAAAATTAAAAAATCGTGCAGCTTGTTATAGTCTGTTCAGATTTGGATCGTCAAGTCATCGCTCAAGCTCCGCCCCTTAGATCAACCCAATCAGAGAGCAAGCCATCCACAGAGCGTTTTTGGGGGCGGAGTTTGTAGCTTGACCTTCAAAATCTGAACAGACTATACAGCTTTCTCTGGTATATCAAAGAGTTTCCTAACCAATTTTTAATTTTCCTTCGACCAAAAACGAACCAAGCGGAGGCTGGAAGAAGCCACCGACTGTGAATATTTCCGAGGGCCTGCCACCGGATGAACGCCAAAGCGGCACTCATGTACAGAGTTATCGCGTGGAGGGTCATCGAGGAAACCACGTGGAATTTCAGGAAAACCATCCAGCTGTACGAGTAGCCCATGTCTCCCTGAAATGAGTCAGCATTTACTTTAAACTTTTCGAAGAAATCTCGAAATCTTCTTCTTCTTCTTCTTCTTCCTACGCCTTTGTACCGCTTGAGCGGCGTCGGCGCCCCAAGTCGATGAGCCGAGGTCTTATCCTGATACCAGTGGACTGGCTCCAGTGACATATCCGTCCTTGTGTGTGACGGCTGGGGATTTTGAAGTCGTGGTTTCCCACTACCAACAATTCTTAAACCCCTTGGTTGGGTCGGGGCGGGGATCGAACTTGTGACCCTGTGGACCGTAGACAGGCACACAACCTGTTGCGCTACGGCGCGCCCACGAAGAAAATCACGGAATAATAGAATTTTTAAAAAAATTACCTGATAGATCCGGAATCTGAAGAGGTAGACGCTGTAGCTGAGCATGGTGATGACGTCACACATGGCGACGGCAGTCAGGACGCAGTTGACGGCGCAACGACGCATCCGCGGCCTCGACAGCACCAGAATGTGGATGACGTTCGAGGCGACGCCGAGGATACAGATGACCAGACAGGCATATCGATGGAATACCGTGTATACTCTGTAAAAAAAACTCTTCACTGAAGATTTGGCAAGGATAGAAGCTCATTCGGAAGTTTTGAAATATGTGGAAAAATAAATCTGGGAACTTTTGGATTGTTGTTCATTCTAAGTGTCTCTAGTCCCAAATATCCGTTTTAGATTGCTCGTTCCTCAGTGAAGTTTGATTCTGAACCTTGAAATAATCAGAAAATTCAAAAAAGGAACGTACCCTAGTAAGTAAAACGCAAAAAAAGAAAAAAAAAGCATGGCGAAAATTGGACCAAAAAAAAACGCCTACCATTCTATTCACGTCATGATTAGATTTAAGGGTGAATGTATTATTAATTGGATCGGGTTCGAGTTGCGGACACACAAACAAGAGAGAAAAGAAAGAAAAGGCAAACCGATTGAACTCCTCGAGGCCGTCGATGAAGCTTCGGACGGACGGATCGTTGGGATCGAGGAGGGATCCGCCTTCCTCATTGCACATAACTGAAAGAATTTCGTTTGTTTTAAAAATTAGTCCAGAGAAACAAAGAAAAAAAGTAGCGACAAATTAAAAAAAAAATAATCCAAGATCCCTGCGCAATTTACACAAAAGCGGCTTTTCCGAGTTGCGCCCGACTTTAAAACGAGTTGCGCGGTTTGAAGCTTTATCATAATGTTCTTTCTGCATTTTATTTTGACTTTAATTTTTGAGAAAGGATTTTTGTGTGAAAAATAAAATGTAAAAAAACGACTATTTTCAGTGCAACCGACTTGAAACGACACGCAAGATAGCGTCTTCTAATTCTTTTTGTCGATTAAAAATTTTGCATTTCTTTTTCTAGCAGTTAATTCTCTCGGAAAAAAAGCAACTCATAACGATTTCGATTCTTGAAAAAAATATCCTAATGCAATCGACCAGAAAAAAAGCAAAAAAAGTGGAAAAAAACTCAAAAAAACTTCTTTTTTCATCTTTTTTTCCGAAAACCCGCATCCAAGCTAAGAAATTCTTGTCCACCTTTCAACAAAAAAGAACTTTGTGAGAATTTCAGAAGCTTATTTTACAAGACAAATAGAAGGGAACACCCTTAATGACATGGAAAAAAAAACCAAAAGTCCAGAAAAAGTCGACAATGAAGCTAATGAGGAACTAGCCTTACTTTTTCGGAAAAAAAAAACATTTTTCCCGTACTAATCTTTGAAAGGCTTCAGTTATTATCATGAAAAAAATACGTTAAAAAAATATTTCCTTCCTGTTTCAAACTACATGAATTTCTTTATGAGAGGTTTTAAAATTGAAATATATTTAGGCTTTCGATCTTTGCCCATTATTCAAAAAAAGAAATAAAAGGAAAGTTTTTGCAGAACGGCAGTTTAATCTATTTCGAGGCCAAAAGGAAGAACAATCGAGGAAATTGTTCAATTTGTCGACGGAAATCCATCAGATGGACGTCCGGAATGAGTTGAGAGTGCGACGGAGCGACTTTCGTTTGAAATATCAAACTCGAGTTGCTTTTTTTAGGCTGAAGGAGTTGCAAGAAGCAAGAGACTAGAGTGAAGTTCGGAATCTTTGAAAAATCCAGTCATTGCCGTGAGAAATTGAAAAAAAAAACAGATAATGATAACTTGGGGCTGTGACGATGGAAGCTTGGGAAACTTTGAGAAAAGGTCCAATTTTTTTAACAGGTCGGAAGAGAATATAACTAGAAGAGGAACTAATTTGGAAAAAAAAAATCAATTCTTCATGATTTTTTTAGATGTCTTACCTGTCTGCGCCCTCTTTTCCATCTGAGAAAGAAAAAAAGCAGAAATATTTCGAAAAATACTTTTTTAGTTGTCTTAGAAAATAAAGCTGGATTTTCCTTTTAAATCATTTTACAGTCCATTTTCTGAAATTGACAGCCTTGGTCGCGCGTGGAAAGGTTCGATGCCTTGAAACCGTGAAGCGCCCGACTTAAAACGACTTGCGCAATGTGGCAACTGACAGCATTCAAGCAAGTTATCAAGTCGGTTCGAGACATACTACCAATCAAGCCCCTTTAGCCATTCCAATTGCGACCACTACATCCTAAATCATTATAAAGGTAGAAAAAATCCACTTTCAGAAAAAAAACCGTAATTTATCAAGTGAATCATATTTCAAATGTAAAATGCTTTCTGAAAAAAAATTTTTTGAAAAAATTCCGATCCATTGATCCTTTGATCCGTAGCTAGAAACTCATCCTACTAGGCCATGGAAAAACAACAAAAACTGAAATTTTCATCCGTTCTAACAGTCGAATCCAACAAAACGGAGGTATAAAATAACTTTATTAGTGGTACCAACAGGTGCAAACCAACCGAAAAACCTTCCCATAATTATATTCAATCTCGACGGCCCTCTAAATAAAGTTAATAAAAACAGGCTTCAAGCTACTCACAAGTTGCAAGGAAAATTCCGGGTTGCGGGACGAATTAGAGACATTTTTCGGGACTTCCGGCGTCCGATGAAGCTCATTAAACGTGTGCAAAGTCCAATTGAACTAATACTTCTTGGTTTCGAAAATGACCCGAAAAGAAGAGATCTCCGGTTCGAAATTCGAAAAAAAATGCATAATGCGGATTTGGAGCTACAAAAAATTCGAAAAAAAAAAAATAATATTTCCAGAAGCTCAATCACTAAGCCGCTGTCAAAATATGTAGATTATATTAAAATAATTGCTGTCGATAAATAGCAAACAATTTTTTTCTCCAATCTGCAGGTGTTTTTTCGGCGTGACGTTTCATTTTTTTTTGAACTCAAGAAACACCTACCCGGAAATTGGGTTAATCAGTAGATTCATACAGGAAATTATGTGGTGGCAAAAAATTGTTGGTTTGAGAATCTGGGAGTTCCGTCAAAACAAAAGTGTAACTCATGAAAAGTCATTGGAAATGTTTCCGGAGGATCTGAATCAGAGAGGCGTGAAAAAACGGCCACGCCCATTTTGAACTAGGAACTTTTCTGAAAAAAATGGTTTAAAGGGAGAAATCGATAGTAAATGATAAAATTTTGGAAAAACTTTAAAAAGTTAGACATTCTGTTTTTTTGGTAAATTTTTGAAATAAAATCAATTTTTTTTTGATTTTTCAATTTTCCTAATCGGAAATTTCGAAGTTCTACGTTTACAACAATGCTTAAAGAACTTTCTTGCGGGAAAAAAAGTTCAAAAAAAATCTGCGATTTGGGAAATTAGGCCGTTGTTTCTTTTGATTTATTCATTTTCTTGCAAATTTTTTTTTGTGCCCAGGTTGATTCAGTTTTTTTTAAAGTCTTTAAATTTTTTGAAAATCGTAAAAATTAGAGAAAAAAATTGTAAAAAAGTTGCAGTTTCTTCGCAAAAACTACCGACTGTAAAAATTAAAAAAACATCTGCTTCAAAAAAATTCTTCAAAATTAAAAAAAAAACGGATTACTGCTTCAAACGAAGTACAGAAAAAGTTATTAGCTGGAAAAATACTCATTAAACGGTAAAAAGGGGAATGAAAGGAGGCCTAGTTTTCCAAGCCACGGCTTGTTTTTTTGAATTTCCGCCAAAAACTCAAAACCGAAGAAGGTTTGGAAATACTTGAAAAATATTGAAATCAACGCGTTTGCACTATCAAAACGTTAACATAATGAAAAATTTCCGGGCGGGCGGAAAAAAATTTAATAAAAAGAGGGTAAAGTTGTTCACGAATGACTCACGACTTGCAAAACTAAAAAAAACCTTAACTTTAAAGAAAAATTCCCATTCACACAGACAATCTTCAAAAAAAACTTGGTGACATACGCAAAATTTTCTACAAAAAAGAAGCTTGGGAAGGCTGAAAAATCTAGAAACAGGTGGATAAAAAGAGGAAAAAATCCTCGGATGCCAAATTGCTCTCATTGAGACTTTCAGCGAGAAAATCTTTCTTAGACTCGCTGATTATTGGATTTGAAAGTAAAATGGGAAGGATAGTCGAGAAAAGTTTTATTAAGGCAACAGGAAGTGAACGACCGGAGGAAAAGTGGAAAAAATGAAGAAGAGGAATAAATTAGTTTGGGCCGATGTCAGTGGTGGGCGGTCGGCGACGGCCTTTTCTGGCCTTTTTGGAGGTTAACTAGATGTATAATCAAGTTATTGGACATTATTTCACTTTTTGAAGTAGAAATTTGACCTAAAAATTGGAAAAAAACCAGTATTTTCCACGTTTTTTTCTATGACCCCCAACCCCGTTGAAAAAAATTTTTTTGAATCCTAGCTTCATTTGTTAATCTCACTTAGGAGCATCAGAGTGGTCCCTAAAGAGGCAACTTCAAGGGCCCTTGAGGGTTCCCTTCTTTAATAATAATGATAGCAATTTATTCACAGAACAGTGGTCAGTGGGGTTCTTTGATTTTTCAGTTTTCAAATCTGAACAAAAATTTTGAAGACCCTATAGGGGCTACTTGAGCTTCAGGGGTCGAACCCTGAACCCCTAGAGGAGCCACTTAAATCACCCCTAGTGCTTCATTTTTCTGTTCTTCTCATCAAATATTTGTCATTTTTTGATAAGTTTATCTATCTTAAAGAAAAAAATAAAGCCCATGATTTTTGAAATTTGAGATCTTGAAGTGAAAATTATCTTTGAAGGTTTATTTTTATTGAAGAAATGAATTTGACCAAAAAAAAAGTGGATAACTCAGTTCATTTTTGTAAAAGAATTCGTAGTTCTGACATTCAAAAAAAGTAATTTTGATAGATAAATTCAGGAGAAACTAGAAGAACACAAAAAGACGACAAACGGACGGCTCAGATCGGAGCCGAGCCCACGCGATCTTTTTGTTTTCCCTCCATTTTTCCAGATCTTATGAGTCATTTTGAAGCTTATCGATACGAAGATTGAGTCTTTTGCGTCAAAAAAGATTATTTCCCAACCGGGGAATCGTCTCGGCTCAGTGAGAGTTCTGAATAAGAATATGATCACTAGTGTTTTTTCCATTCAGATTCCAAATCTGGGCTCAAAAAAGTTCTCCTCGATGAGAATTTTTGGTTTCACGACATTGAAAAAGGGGAATCAAGAAGAAATAAATTATTTTTTATTCTCACAGGAAAAATAATAAAAACCCGAATCGTGAGAGCCTATTTGATTCGTGTCTACCGTTGAAAAGATCAGAAATTTTATTGTCGAGAAAAAAAAAATAAAAATCTTTAAACTTTGAGATATAGAGAAAATTATATTGAAAGCCTTGCAAAATTTCAAGTAGAGATATTTTAAAAAAATCAGTTGATAAAAAAAGCAAGTTTCTTATCATTTCCAATACAATTTTATCATTGCTGCGTTTCAAAAATTTAAAAAAATTTCAAGTTTAATTGGAATTAGAAAAAAATTTTTTATAAGACCTTTTTCAAATTGATATCTATGCTCCTTTAAAATATCTAACACCGAGTTTAGAAAACACTCAAATTCTCAAAAATAGACGAATAAAATCGTGATAAGGATTCGAACCTGCGACCTTCTGAATCACAAACTATCGCCCTA